AGTTATCGATAGCCATTACTTACATAAGCGAGTGCATCACTTCGGATACATAAACCCACAATACCCGTATATATATGATATATGAATAGGTCACCAATTTGTTTTTAGCGTGAAATCTGTTGTATCCTCTAACGAACTTCCCTTTTTTGTGTTAGGCTGCAAGGCTTCTGTACATATCAATCAATACCTAGCTCTTAGGCCATATGCTATACTATATACATACTATATACTGTATCGGAAACTAGTTGTAAGCACACAATCACGCATCACACCGCAGTAACACACATGCATATCCATTATGACCGCATCGTAGACATATTTTAGACGTAAAAGCAACACAAGTAATAAGCATAAATGTATCTGTCGTAAAATTAAATAGCGCTTTTGGCACCCACACACCACTTCGATTGCCCCACAGTTTCTACTGCTCCAATGCCCAAAAGCCAAGCGGAAGGTGGCAAGCCACAGCAAATTGATGAGCATATTCTAAGCATAAGCGTTCAATTTATTGAATAATAAATCTATTTAATTTTAGTTCAATGCGCATTCGAATCTATCACGGCCATAAAACACTGGCCCCTGGCTAATTAACGCACTTGGTTGGGGGCACCATTTCCCTGGACCCGGGATAAGTGCCCGGGCCAAAAGCCGAGAGGCACTCGAGCCCAAAGACCTAATATTTGGCTTTCTTCGCGTTATAAAAGGAAAACATATTCCCTTTGTTTTTGTTTTGCTTTCAGCCCGAGCCCCGCCAGTTTTGACATGGCGAAAAAGTCATAAACACACAGAAGGGGCCGTAGATTATCATTATCATCATTGATGGCAGGCGGCGGCCCGCCAAATGCACACCAAACAAAGTGATGAAAAGCAAATGTTGTTGGAAACAATGGATGCGTGAAATTGTTCGCACCCCGCGGGCCAAACGCTGCGCTTAGTCCGCTTAGACCACCTTGTCCTTGCCTCCTGGCCACCTGGGCACCTGGCCACCTTTCCTCGCCCGTACTCCTGCCCAGGTGAGCTCGAGTGCTAACTACATTAATGCATAATGTGGTGGCCGGCTTCCAGTGGCAGTCCATGGGCTCCAGACCCATCAGCCTAATGACTTGCGTACGGCGGACGCAGCGTGGCCAAAGGGACCTTGATGAGTGGCAAGTGCGTTAGGACCTTGGCCGTAAACCGGCAAAGCTGGAAAATTTTAAAATTTCCTGGGCTTTAAAACTAAAAACTTGTGCCTCCCATTAAAAGTACGAATATGCAAACAGTTGCGGTGACAATAATAGCACCAGCGTTTCTGTATTTTCTGACACTTTTTCATCAGCTCAGATTGTACTACTGCAAATATGGCAAATTCACATGAGTTGCAAGTCCCAAACTCATTGTCCTTGCAGTACTATTGTCCCAGATTAAGACTGAGCATATTGGCCCTGTTTGGACTTCCGCTCTGGCAGAGATTGCTAAGTAAATGAGTATTTGCCCCAAGGACTTCATCTGGGCAGATTGAATTAAATATCTTTGAGGGCTAAAGCCCCAACTAAAGTGCTGGCTTCAATTTCTTGGTAGTGGTGACTCGATTTGGTGTGGAATTTCATTAATTTCAATAATTTCGATAGGGCCTGCACTCGGGCTGCATTTGCGTTGCACTCGGCATCGGGTTTCCAATTACGCAGCACATATTTGTGGTATGCAGTGACCATGCCCAGGAAGCAGCTTCTCATAATTGGTTTTCCAGTTGCACATTAATTAAAATAAATGCCGATAATAAGGCATGCTTTTAACCCCTGGTTCGGCAAGCACAGTAAATTGCGAAAAAATCAAAAATAAATTATTCAAAGGAGCGGGTCACGTGTTGAATGTTCTCAAATTGCCCAACTAATCAGGACCAAGGTCCAGGGTTCGTCCTGCCGCTCATAAATCGTTTGTATTCCGGCCCCGGGCATTTTTTATTTGCTGCCTCACAAAGGAAAGAATGGAAAACATTACAGAAATTAGCCGACTAGAATGGAAGGAAGGAAGTCATCGCCGACGCCAGGGAAATTCATTTCTGTGTGCGCACGAGAACTCGCCGTTCTGCCGTTCAGGCTCAAATTAAAGGCCAATAATACAGTAATAAAGTCGGCAGCCAATCGACCTATGGCCCCTAAGCCAGGCCAAATCGAATCACCCAGACACAGGCACCAACGCACCTTGACAGGCCGCGCTTAAAAGTATTTATAAATTTTATATAATGTGCTTCCAGCGAGCGAGATACATCGCATCCCCCGAGCGAGCTACAGATGCGGTTGAGACAATAGTGCTGAGGCTAAAAGATCTCATTACTAAAATACCAATAATCTCTACTGAAGATGTTATATATGTATGTATTCAGTATGAATAAGTATAGAGGTACCCAAACCTCATAGTATTCGGCTACTGAGCAGGGATTAGTATCAGCAGATACTGAAGACTGCTATTTCGCTGCCCGCCACTGTGCGCATGGGGCATGTACTATACATAAAGTACGACGGCTTGCCCTTTTTGGTGTCGGGCGGGAAGTAACCTCTATTATTTACCAATACAAACTAAGCTTTAAAAATAAATGTAAAATCACCCGAAGCGCCAGCTGGTCGATGGGTGGGTGGTCCTCCCAGAGGGGGTTCCTTGGCTCCAGACAAACATGTGTATAATGTGTTTAATACAACAATTGTGTGGCTTTTTAGTACCAGTACCAGTGGCAGTGGCAGTGGCAGTGTGCCACACGCAACAGTTGTTTTTAGCGGATGTTGCGGAGCATGAAAGCTGCTGCTGCAGATACGCAGATACGCTTGCGCCCTGGCGCGATTTGTTGCCTACTTTTCCGGGCAGGCCAGGTGATGCCGATGACCAATTCATCCCCGATTCATGCGAACTCCCGATGCCGATTCAGATGCCACCCTTATCGGCGGAGCTTTTGGTATCTCAACATTTGGCGGGCATGCAACAAGCGTGTTGTGCCTGTATCTGTGCCTGTATCCGTGCTGCTATCCTATCCTATCCGTATCCGCATCTGTATCTGTATCCGTGCGCAACATATTTACTCAGCCTCAGCTGCTCCGCTGCTGCTCAACATAAACGCTCGGCTGGAGGCACGAAGATGCGTGACGAGCGGCACTCGACTTATGTACCATTTGGCACACTTGAGAGTTTTAGTTCGGTTTCGGCAGAATTGATAGATACACGCAGCTCGCACCGCGCACACCACAGCCGTATTTGTAGATATAGATACACACACACAGCCGCACGCAGTGCCAGCACACGGACACACCGATTTCGTCCCGCTTTCTGGCTAAAGCAACCGACTTTGGCTTTGGCTTTGGCTTTAGCTTTAGCTTTGGCCCACATCGTGTCTATCTAGTGCCATCGGGCATCGGTTAAAGCCAGAAGCTGAACCGCAATCACAATCGCGGCCAGCACGCTTTTCCAGTGGGAAAACATTTCGGCAGTGGATGCACGTTGATTTTTTATCGGTCCGCAGTCCGCAGTTCTGATTGGTGTTTTACCCTACAAACTGTCCACCGAACTGGAGTGAAAAGTGCCGTGTTTCCGGGAGAGTTGCCTAATCCTACGGCACCGTTGGGCAGGTAAACCAATACCCCACATCCCACTTAAAGCCCTGTACTTTCCGGCCTGCGAAGTTCCGTGGAATAGCTCGAATTTAAGAACAAATAATGCTGGCCATCGCGCCCATATACCGACGGATTCTGGCGCCCAAGCTCTCCTCCATTTGCTGTGGTTCCTGGCTAATTGCTAGTGGTGTCTGCAGTCGACCGATAGAGCCACTTGGCCTGGTCAAACACAAATGCAATTACAATTACCCAAAGAACAGAAACGGGCAGCAAAAATCCCATTGCTCATATAAGCTCATCAAGAAGTGCTCATGTGTACGTGCGCTTGCTACGACTGTGTGTGTGTTTTGTGCCTGTGTGTTGGTGTGTTGGTCTGTCTGTGTGTTGGTGTGCCTCTGCCGGGGGCTCAGTCCCTACAAAGCTGGATTCTGGCTGCGTGCAGACTCCATCTGGAGTGTAGCACTTGCCGGGGGCTCAGCGAGCGAAGGAAAGCCGTTAATGTAACGGCCACCACTGCGATCCTTCGTCCTGTCAGTTTGCCTGGGCAGCTCCTTGATGGCTGCTCTTCAGCTGGAAAATCCCACCTTCAATATCCCATATTTGCTGGTTCTGCGGAGAGCAGTGAAGTAGTGACTCACGGGCTCGCGATTTATTTGGGTCAGCTTATCTTACGATGCCATAAATGATTCATTGGCTTCCGTTATTAGTATTTTAGTCCAGTCAGTCGTAATCCGCAATGCTCTGTGGACAATTGTTCGGGGGCCAATTCGCTTTAATGACGTTTTAATTTCCGCATTAAAAGATGCGCCGTCGCAGCAGTGTTCTTACTGGAAAAGAAGGTTCTCAACTGAAGCAAAAAACCACTCAAACTATGACTGTTATTTTTTTAAGTGTCAAAATAGTTATTTATCTTTGGTTGGTCTCGAATTTGTTTTGCGGTTGAATATTACTAATGTACAAATGAGTTGCGCAAAGTTATGTGTAATATTGTAAAGCTTACGAATCTCTACCGAAAATCTTTGAAGTGATATATCCCTGCACGACATTTGATAATGAAAGCCTATGTTGACTTCAAGATACATAGATACAAATGTTTCTGTGGTTAGCTCGGAATCAGTTAACACGATTCGCCTACTGTTAGCAGTTATAAGAGTACTAATCAGACAGTGATTACTTTACAAGCAAAGCTTTCCGTAAAGCTCTTCGCTCTCCGCGCTCTCTGGCTCTCTCCGCGATTCTTCGGTGGTGTAGCTACTTCAGATTCTTCGGAGCGCACTGCCTCCAAGTGCAGATACAGATACTGGCGATCGTACTGTCGCTTGTCGCTCGCATTCGGCATTCGGACTCGGGTTCGGATTCGGATTCGGATTCAGATTCGGATTCGAACTCGTACTGGCACTCGCACGAATTTGTATCTCAGAGATTGTTTTAGTTTTAGTTTTCTTCCCCGCGATTCTTCTGTGTGTTCGCGTTCTTCTGGCCTGCCATTGCCATTGTTTCTGCTTCTGCTTCTGTTTCTGCTGAATTTCGTATCGTAGCGTATCGCTGAGCGAGAAATCAGTTTGACGTTTTGCTTTGACAAGCAGCCGTCGTCGATCGGGGATCGTGAATTGCGGATTGCGGATCGCGACGCGGATTGCGGCTGAATCTCGTGAATCTAAATCTTGGGCGTTCCTCTCTCGCCGCCGGCCGCCCCGAGCAGAGTTCCGAATTCTGTAGGAGTATACCACCCAAGAGCACTCGTTGCACCACCCGCTGACCGCCGAAAATTCGGTTATCTCCGCGGCCGCAATAATCGACAATCATATTCCCGATTTGAGATCAATATACAAGTGGTGTGTGTGTGTGTGTACTGTGCTGTGTGTGCCATATATCGGGGGTGCGTGTGTGCCGTTCAGATTGAGTGTTGGCAGTAAATGCGAGCCAATTGTATCTCTCAGATACAGATACGTTGGCGGTAGGAGCGTTATCGGCGCTACTGCTGCCGCTGCCGCTGCTATAGCTTCAATAGCTCCTACTACTGTCGTGACCGCGCCATTGTTATTATTTTTAATGCATTGAATTTGAGTTTGCAGCTTACAACTCGCCCTGTGGATGTAGCTATGTGTATACATATTTTGCAATATCTTGTGCGTCACAGCAGCAGCAACAGCAACAACATCCGTTCTATGAACGTGACCCCCGCGCATTAAAATAAATTCTAATTTGTGGAAGAAAGAGCTGCGAAATGTTTTGTTATTGCGAAGAAGTGCTCGTGTGTGTGGGGCAATATTTATTATGAGTGCGTGTGCGTGTGTGCGTGTGTGCGTGTGTGTGTGCCCACTGTGCTCATGTGTATTTGTTTAATTTATATCTAGAGTCTAGAGTCTGATATAAATATTAAAATAAGAATAAGAAGCAGCGCATAGACGGCTACGTCCACGAGCAACAGGCGGCCAAGCAACAACTACCAGCTGAACGACAAATTTTTGGTTTCGGTACGTCAACAGATAATGTATTGTATATGTACTGCGCTCGGACACACTTGTGCTCCCGAGGAGCACATGTATCCCTAAGACACCTGCGTGCCCAGAACCCCTGATCCTCCAGAGCTCCTCCAATAGCTGTGCAAAGCCACCTTGGCGCTGGCAACGTGCGCCGAACGTCCTCCAAAAGATCATAAAATTAAATGAAAAGAAATGAAATGAAGCGAATAAAAGCGAATATTTTCATGCAACTGGCGTCGCAATTTTCAGTTTAACTAGCCAACCTGACCGACTCTGAGTGACTTCTTATAGGCGCGAGGCAGGCACATAAAAAGCGCTTAAAATTGGTGAGCAATGATGCCCATACTGGTCGTAAACAATGTGAAAAATATCATTTCGTACTTATAAACTGGCGGCGGCGATAAGTTTGCAAACTGCGTTCGCATTTCGCCATTCGTGTTTTGCATTTTGCATTTCGCATTTCGCATTTCGCTGCTGGCCAAAAATGTAGTGGTGCTTTTCGGTTTCTATTTCGGCCACATCCCGCGTGTACTGGCCCATTTCGTCGATTATCTAATGGCTCTCTACGATATGAGTTTCAGCATGAGTATGAATATGAGTATGAGTATGAGTATGTGTGGCTTCAGTACGTTTTCACTATCTATGCGATAGGCTGTCGCCCAATCAGTTGGCTGGCTTAATTAATTCCCGATTTTAACTGTTTATTAAAATGGATTGTTATTGTTATTGTTGCTGTGGCGTTGGCGTTGGCGTTGGCGAGGTGCTTTCGCAGCTATTGTTAACAGCAAATAAATCCGGGCTGCTCGCGTGCATACTGATTGGGGTTTTAGGGGGGCGGGGGGCTCCACCAACCTGCCGCACTTCAAATGCTCACTATGCCTGGGGTTATGCAATGCCACCCACTCCCACTCCCACTTCCACCTCCACTCCCAGTTACCCGTAAACCCTAAGTGCCGTGGTGTCTGCAGTTCGTCCAACTTTATGCTCAATGTGCCATTACATTGTATCTGCAGCCGTGTATCTGTATCTGCGCCTGTACTTGCATTTGCATTGTCAACTGGGGCAATCAGCTCCAAATGGCGCCCTCTCGTTCGTTTACGAACACGCCGTCCCTGTCTAATCTTCCAGGTTGCGACACTTATTCCCTGCTCTCCCATTCCTCCATTTTGTTATATCTCACTTGAGATCGGCATTTGAAATGCAAATTCCGAAGCAGCCGAAGCAGGCGAAGTCCCATAGATATTGTAAGCAGTCGCAGATACGCGCACATACATATATGTAGGTCCTCCCCACACAGACGTGTGCATCTTGGAGTGTTCTTTCATGTTCGTTATTAATTAGTGGCGGTCCAACCTTCCGCCTGTAAGCGATTAGTAGCTGTTCCATTGTGAAGCCCCAAGGTCCGCGATCGTCGACGAATCTCGAGGATGGCAGAGCTATGCGGCTGTACATCTGTGTAGCTGACACTTGTGACGCACGTTCTGAACATGAAATTCCTCGAAAGACCACCAGCAAGGTTTTCCATCATTGGAGGACACAACGAGATAATAATGGGCCATAAAATGTATATGGACTGCCCCTTTTGGGCGGGGAAATCCATATTTGCCACAGGTTTTCTTCGTTGCCACACTTTTTAATTCGTTTTTCAGATCGTTTTCGATTGGAGGCTCTTTCGTAACACATTTTAATATAGTAGATATACATGCTGTACTCTCAGCTAATCGAAAAACCACTTAAAGAGTGAAGATTCTATTTTCTGTAGTCGCCGTTCGTAATTCACTCCTAACTGTTTTGCCAGTCGTTTACTTGGGAAAAGTGTCATGAGTTATGGCAGGCCGTAAACATAAATACTCCATTTCAACACCTGACTTCGAGTCAAATTAGGCACTTGTAATGGATCTCAGTCAAGTGCACACATTGAGTGTGCGTTGCATTATTCGGCATATGTATATAGTTGTCGATCGGATTCCAATTCCAAATCCAATTCGGATACGGATTCGGATCCGTGTGTGCATGTAATGTAAACAGCAAGCCGAAGCCGAGCGATCGGCAGCTGCAAGTCATCAGCGTGCAAAAGCTATTAGATACAAATTCGCTAGAATGCGGTGCGCCGTGCTCCATGTTCATCATCTTTTTTGGTCTCGGCCAGCTTTTTCGTATATGGCCCGGCTTCGGCTGCCAAATACCTACGTTCTTGAGTACATATCGGTAATCGGTAGGAAATTCTATTAGGGGCTCTCGCACTGGCACACGCACACAGGCGTCCTGATGATGCTATTATCCGAGTGCCCACAAGCACCTGCATACTAATAGCTGCGGGCTGGGGCCAAGCATCCGTGACTGGCTGCATCTAATGAGTTGACGTTGCCGGCGACGCCGGGGACCGCTAATAGAATTTGGCACTCCTTGGCACTCGAGCTTTTAGTTGCATACCGAGAGGCGCCGCACAGGAGCTCGAGGCCCCGATGAAGTGCACGGCACAGTGAGGCACAGCCTGGCAACAGGGCGGCTGAGCAATGCCAAACCGCCTTCGTCCCCGGGCGGCGGTAAACAAATTATGCTACGTTCACGGCGTTCGTTATTTATTTGAAAACCTAAATGAGCCCGAGTGTATGGCAAAAGCCATTACTTGTTCATTTTAATATGGTCGGGCTAAAAATAATTTGTTTAAATCAACAAACACACCATAGACTGATGTGTACGCGGAGCTGATTCTCGACATCTCTATTGTAGTTTTCTCATTGCTAGAAATGTGGATGAGTTTGCTTGGAGCGGCATCGAATGCTGCACGGAGAAAAATGTACAAGCAACTTAAAAGGCGAGTGCCTTAGCTCAAGCTAAGCGTGACCTTAGCTCGCGAAATAATTTGGACCCTACTTTAAGAGCAAGGTCACACTGCAGCTAGCCTAAAGGGCCTATGCAAGGGATTGGAGTTTGGCATGGATAAAAAAAGCTGAATCATTTAAAATTCAAAGCACAATTTTCTCTGATATATAACATTTCAAACAGATGACCAATTTCAGTGACATATCTCTCTCTGTACTTATGTTGCCCTTTCTGTTCCCCCTCGCCTGTCTTCCTGTTGGTGTCTTCTGTTGTGACGCCTTTTGTCTTCGGCCCCAACAATGCAAACGGATTCAGACAGTGGGACGACAACAAGTGTCCTTATGGATGTGAATGTGTTTATGTGCGAGTGCAGATGAAAGACAGCCTTTCGCTTTAGCAAGTCAATCAACGTCGCTGGGGATAAGGACTATCTTTTCCCGGCGAGTCCCCTTCGAATTGTTTTTCCTGGCCCAGAGCAGCGACATAAGACATTTCACTCGCAGACTTGATCTGCCGAGGCGAAGGGGCTCCAATTACCACTTGAAGTGGGTACGACTTTTGGTGACTAATCTGAACTTCGCTCCCTACTCCGTACTTCACACTCCGCTTCGTATCAGTTGATTTGCTTCTTTCGCTTTCGTTCGGGTTTTATCTAAATATTTAAAATTGGCCAGCAGACACGAGCCAGCGACATAGGGTTTTTCTATTTGCCTGCCCCAAGATAAAGCCAACTGACAGCCGGAATGAGAACAACGACGGGCGACATCGACATCCTCATTCCCATCCCCACCGATGTCAGAGATATGTACCCAGCGCTGTATTATATATGACACCCACAAATCCCCACAAGTCAATTGTTTGATACGTGCCTCCGAGGGTTCAGACTATCAGGTTTCGTCAACTTTTCGGGACGCGAACTTAATATGGCAGACAGGAGTCGTTGGCGAATGGAAAACGCAAATATAGCTCCGACTGGGCATTATTCATATGCAGCGGGCTGGTCACGTTCAAGGGCCCCTGTTTCATTATTTTTTCTTTTTATTTCGTATTTTTTCTCGCCTTGGCTCCAATAATCATTGCCAATATTTGGGCTTTTATGAATTTATAACAATCGCCAAGAGTTTTTGACAATTGTGCGGGTGCTCTGCCCATATTCGATGAGAGTTTCAATGAAACGGCGCTTGAACTGCGGTAACTGCGACACGAACTGGCTTTCGTAATCGAGTTAAAATACCAGATATGCACTGCAACGCGTCATTTATCACTCGGGCTTATCAATGTCAATTAAACTAGTTTAACTAATTAAGCTGGGAATTATCAAAAAAGAGGAACGGGAAGGTCCCATGTTAATGTAGGTCAGTGCGCACTTGGCTACCGAATATAAAAGTTAGGGATTGCGGTATAGCTCACAAATCTAGTTAAAAAATAACTTTTTAGGGCTTCAGGTTTCGCCTTAATAAGCTCAAGTTAATGGGAAAGGTTTTCAAAAATATAAACAATAAAATGGAAGGCTCCTAAATAAACTTATTTAGCCTGCCATCGTACTGCTTATACTTAAGACTTTGGCTGTACTCATTTAAGTACATGTTTAATATTTAAGCCGCAAACTAATTAGCTGGCTGGAAACAGCGGGTAATAACGTTATATAAAATGTGCTGTTTGCATGATTGCCTTTTTAATGGATTTAAGACCTTGCGACGAGGGCTTACGAAAGCAATCTAACAATCTAACATGCAAATCTCTGAACAAACCCATTGCACTTGCCTGGTATTCCAATTAACCAACACCCACTTCGCTCTTCCCTCTTGCAGTTCCCCAGATCATGTGACCAGTATCTCCGCTGGCCATCAGTCAATCAATCAGCAGACCGCAGCCCAAAAATGTTTCAATTATGTTATCGCCAGCCACAACGACATCGTCCAGAATCGAAAGCATCGAACCAGAGCAGCAGCAACCACATGAAGGCAGCACCACTGGCCAGAACGAAGGAGTAAGCCGCGCACTCCCGCAGAGGCCAAATCCGGATCCGGATCCGGAACCCACAGCAAAACCGAAATCACAAGGCAACCAAGAGCAATTTAGCATAGCAACCGCAACGCAATCAGCCGGGCCAGGATCAGAAGCAGGACTTCTTAGCCATGGGCTGTTCACCGAGCACTCTGCCCCCCGCCCCCTCCGCTGGTCAGACCGGCGAACGAGGATCCCTGCCGCTGGACGCCTCTGAAAAGGACGAGAGCCGCCTGTTCTGCATCAAACTGCGCCGCAGCCGCCTGCGCCGCTGCAGCTGTGGGGGCGTGACCTTGCAGCCACCCAGCGACGGGAATGGCAGCACGGCCGGGGACAACCTGTGCGGCCAGGTGCTCCTCAATCCGCTGCAGACCAAGAGCGAGGCCGACTACGAAAAGGTAAGCGAATGCGCTCAGCCAGAGCCCCCCAACTCCCGGTGTTCACTTCTTCTCTTCCACCAGCTGAGCACCGGCAAAAAGGACTCCATTGTGACGGTGGCCGCCCTGGGCAACTTCACCCACAGCGTGGTGCGACGGGCCACTGGAAGTAAGTAGAGAACTAAACGCTGGGAGCTGCTCAGAGCAGCTCAGTAAATTGATATGGACCGGACAGGGGGCAGCATCCTTTCATGCGCCGCATCAATCCGCAACTTGGTGCTCAAGAAGGGAGCCGGCATAGTTTGGAAACAATTTTCGAAAGTTTGAATAGTTTAATCATGGCAATTTGAAAATTCCCTTGCTCCACTGAAGTCTTCGATGGGGAACAGCACATTTTTAGGCTAGTTTCAGATTCCTTTTAAGAAAAAAGCAATTAATGGAATATCGATTACAGTTCCTCTGTGGAGAATGATTTCTAATGCTCAAGTAACAAAAAGCCTCAAATCATCAAAAGGCTTAGTTATCATTTCTCTGCGTGTTCTTCGATACATGATACCCTGGGCAGCATCAACCCTGCGTAATACCCTTTATGCGAAGCGTCCGCTACCTGCAACACTCAATAGAGGCGATCAAAGCTGTAGATAAGTGCTGCGATCAAGGAAATTGGCTAGGTTCTGGTTCTGATTCTTCTAATCTGAAGTGAGGCTACTCCACCGTGAAGAGGTTCCGCTCTGCTGTTTGATAGCACTCGTAGTGGCACTGCTTATCAATGGGAATCTCAGAATCGGTTGCACATTTCCTTTTCTTCAGATTTTCCGATGATTTACGATGCGCCAAGCTCCAGGCAATCGACTCAAGTGGCTGTCATAACTAATGCTAAGTAAAACGGATTAGAACTGATTAGCGAACTACAGGGTATTCACAGATTTTTCACTTTGAGCTACACTAGCTAGATTGCAGAGTACTGAGGACATGATCAACACTCCTTATCATGTGTCTAAAGTTGAAATGTAGGGTACAGGGTATCAGCAGTGCTGTGCAAGCCAACAGCTTGGCCAGGTAACTCGATCCCAGGCTGGTAAGAGTCAGCTGGCGCTTGTCGGGGATCCAAAGCGCAGCTGTTTTGTGTCGCCGTCCAATTAACAGTTGCCCGCTCTCCGCCCCACTCTCTCGCTTTCGCTCTCGCTCTCGCACTCTCTTTCTTTCTCTCTGGCTGCCGCTTTCGGTGAGCCGTGCCCAGAGAGCGAGTGAGCATCAGTGAAACCTGATCGCGCTCAGCGAACGGATTGGGATCGGATTGGGGTGGGAGAATCAGAGAGCCTGAGAGCCTGAGAGCGAGCTTCGATTATCAGATGCAAAGCTCGCTCTCTCCGAGTGGCGGCAACAGCTGCTCCGCATTTGCGGAGTCGGAGTCAGTTGCTGTAGATTCTTTCGCCGCGACGGTTGCTCGCTCGCAGTTGCAGTCGACGTCGCCGCAAGAAAACATATGTGAATCGCAGTGCTTGTGCCATATAGAATCGAAATCGGCGCCTATATAGCCCGTGTTTGCACAGTAACGCGCTTGATGCAAGTGCCAAATACGTGTACAAAAAAGAAGAGACTGCCAGCTGCAAACTGGTCGCCACGAAACGCCATCTAATGCAGCTGGAGCCGCTTGAATTTGGCCAAGTCGTGGCTACAGCACACAACATATATAACATATAACCCAGGGCCAACCAGTCGTCGATCCAAAGCGATTGCAATTAAAAACGCATAGAGCCGACTGAAATTCGTTGGCTGCATTCGCCCGAGGTGGAAAAAAACAGCTTAGCGTGCTCTAAAATACAACAAAAGTGTGCACAGCCGCGCCGAATATAAAAAAAGTGTTAAAAATCAAAACAAACTTCACAACTAAGTGTGCCAACAGCCGCGGCAGAAACAACAAGTGTAGCGAGTAGCGATCTCTGGATAGATTTGGTCTCCGATCGCCACCACATACGCAGATACCCAGTTACCCAGATACGCATACCCAACCCCCCAGCCCCCAGCCTCCCCCAATTCAGAGCCCACTTTTGACCCACTGCTGGGTGTAGGTTGCCCGAATAACGCCCTGTGAAAAAGCCTCAATTAATATGCAAAAATTCACATGACAATACTTGTATCTGGTTTTGTGCCAGTCGCACACAGCAGCCGTTTAAGAACAGAAGGAGAGCGAGATCGACGAACTCGCACTTCTCTTTCCCAACCCGAATCTGCATCTGATTCTGATTCTGAATCTGAATCCGAATGGGTATCGAATCTGAGTGCGAGTGCGAGTGCGATTCCGAAACCGAGCCCCTGTAAACAATGGATCGCTCACGGTGTGGCGCCAAAACATCAATCACAGCCAAAGAAAACAAACCGAACGATCAGTCGACGCCACTCGATCCATTATGGGCGGCTAATCCCACGCGTCAAAGTTCTGCAGTTTATCAGCCAGCGTTCCCCGTAAAATGGGAAATTGAGCGATGACGCCCGCGTAGTCGTAGTCACCGCGACTTTTGCGATTCCCGCAGGTCTTACACAAATTACGTATAGCTTAGCCACGTGAAGGTATAGCTAGCAGATTAGATTAGCCCCGACCAGTGAGTATTCGCTATCAATATGGCTTTCCCATTACCATACGCCGCTCCTCTGGCGGCCATATGTCCAGTAGTGCGGCAGGCAGCTATCGCTGAATCAAGAAGATCGGCCAGGATAGGGCGGCCGATTCGATACCAACTTCGACCCAGGGCCACTCAGCCAGTCAGGCAATCAGCCATTCTAACCACCATTCTGGCCACCATTCTAGCCAGATGTAGATTGTGCACGCGTTGCGGCCTATCTGTAACTGTATCTGTATCTGGCCGCTTTTGTATCTGCATCTGGGCAGCAGTACCTGTATCCGAACCTGTGCCGTATCTCGACGCACACAGCCTAAACATCTGAATACTATGAGCAAACTTGCCTGATATTATCTTATCACAAATTAATTGGTCGCCATGACAACGGCCCAAGGCGCAAAAGGCCCCAAAACCGAGGGCCCAATGCGATTCGGCCAGCGGGACTGACCGGGAGCCCCTGCTAATCCGCTCATAGAATTTCAGTTCAATTTGCCTCTGCTGCTGGTTGCGATGGCATTGCACCTGCCTTTATAAGGCTAAGCGCCTTATAAGCGCACCCGAAAGTATCTCACGGATTGCCAACAGACCGTTAGCTTTTGCCGCAGCGCACATTTGCAGTCGCCATCGCCATCACAGTCGCCATCATCGCAGTCGCAGTCGGTGCTCGCAGTCCACTGCCTCTGGCAGCTTGAAAATCCGTGCGAGAATTATCATCTGGCAAACAGTTCTTCATACCGGATTAGAACGGACGTTTCGCCCAGTCCGGCTCGCGTTTAATTCCATTTTCCATATTTTTGGTAGCTGCGCCAGTTTGCCAGTTGGCCAGTTGTCCAGTTTGATTCAGGGCTTATCCCCCGCAATTTCGCCACTCGATCGCGTGTAAAACTGAAGTAGTGTGTCCGAGACTAAAAAAGCCGATGCGCCCGCGATTCCCGCCGCTCTGTGAGTGACTCTGTACTATGATTAGGAGTGCGAGCCCAGGCAGTAAGTAACTTGGGGCAAAACTGGAGTCCAGTTTTGAGGTGCCCCCGAAATTCAGAGACGTCAGCGGCTGCTGGCCGCCTTTTATCTAAACAATTTATCGATTTTCGCTTAGATTACAACACCCCGCCCCCACTCCGCTCCACTTTACTCCCTGGCTGCTCCGAAAAATAACACCGACGATAAGATACACCCGACCCATTTGAATAAGCGCAAACATACTGTCCCCACGGCGTGTACAACGCACACGGATCCCGTCCGCTCGTGGGTATGGGTACGGGTACGGGTTCGGGTATGGGTATGTACAAGGCACAGACCCGTACTCCCCGCTCTCCGTACTTTGCCCGGCTAGTTTTTGTTTATGCCCCATTGCGGCTATTTATATTAGGAGTGCTATGTGCCCCGTATCTGGGAGGGCTGTGCGTATGTAGTGTGCGAATGGTGGGCAAGTGGGGCAGTTTATCATTACGCACTAATTGTGTGAAATCAATGCCGCAGCCAGATAAACAAACTGTTGCACATAAATGACAATTAGCATAATGCCACGAAAGTAATGCCAATTTGTGTGACTTCATTTGCAAAACACCAAGAAAACCAGAAGTGCCAAGCCAAGGAATAAATAAAGACAAGCGAACACCGCAAACAATGATAATTTCCAGCCAGCCGAATTTGGCTGGATCGGCGACGACCACCACCACCACCACCAGTGCCCATGTGAGCCCGGAAGGTTCCATGCCGCCACCGCCGCCGCTGCCCATGCCCATGCCCATGCCCATCTCCAGCACTTGCAACTGCGGCGGAGTGGGCGTGGGAGTGGGTTTGGCCCTGGGAGCCAGACAGTGCCCATCTCTAGCAGTGGACCCGACGACAGCCACGCCCACGTCCACGTTCACGTTCACAACACCAGGCAGAGATTCATTAACGCGTCCGGCCTCCGAGTCCGAGCTGAATGTGGGTAAGGTTCCTCCGCCGCCGACTCCGCCTCCGTTGCCCAACTCTGCCGGGGTCAAAGTGGAGCTTGATGATGCGGTTAACATGCGTGTCCACTGGGGAGTGACTTGGGCTGGCCAAAATGATGTTGATGCCGTGCCAAGGGTCTTGGCAATTAAAAATCAGCCCGAAAGTTTTCTTCATCAACTTTTCATCCTTAGCAAATGTGCAGCAATTTAAAACTTTGGGCAACTGAACAAAATGTGAAAAGTTATGATCGCATTCCCCAGAAGCAACTGCATGAAAATTATGCATTCAAGAGGTGGAAAGCATTAAAAAGATGAGAGCTCATTTCGCAGAATAAATTTAGATTAGTGGGCATTTCAAAGAGTGGAGGGAGCCATCTAATTAATTAAAACAGTTTCCACTAAACTTAGTTTAGCTGCAGAATAGCCGCTTAGCAAAAATAACGTTCACAAAAAATAAACCTGTAACTGAATGGCTGGGTATTGTGTATGCTGAAGGCTTCAATTAGCATTATAAGCCTAAAAGTGTCGTAACACAAATATTGTAAATAATTCAAATAATGCATACTTAACATGAAAGCAGCTTGCCAGGTGGATATTCCTTATCAACTTAAAAAGCCCCAGAACAAGACCCAAATGCCTTGTTGATAACTTTAATTTGCTTGCAGGGAATCCGCACAAAAGCCACGAACAAATTTCGTTACACAGAAAGTTTGTTTGGTCAATCATTTGGGGTCTTAAAAATTGTTTGGGCCTAAGCATACATAACTTGCGAGAAGCCGCAGAATTTTAATTTCCCCCAAACTTTTGCTGCGAAACTTTGCTTGCAGAATGGCTCCAAAGCTCCAATATGGACTGAAATTCCCCACTTAAATATGTACACAAACTTTAATGCGCCGAGAATTATTGAAGGTTGAGCGGGTCGATCTATTGGATTGCAAGTTTTATTTCGTACATGGCAACATGCCAGCATGGCATCCTTTTCGCAGGATTTTTGTTTAGTTTGCTCGCCGCAGCATAAAGCAGCACAAAGCAGCACAAAGTGGGTTGTTGAAGGCCCGACCTGTTTCTCATTAAGTGAAATACAATTTGTGCGGCTTAGTTCCTCGGGGGATCCCCGTTCGGCTGACAGATAGGAAGCCCGAGCTCGAGCACCGCCCCCAAGGACCTTTGTACCCTTTCGCCGGCACACACACACACACACACACACACACACACACCCTGTGCGTGTGCGTGTGCCCGTTTATAAAGTGTTTCTGAAATGCCAACGTTTATAATTAAATAAAACGTGCAACAAGAGGAATTAATGTGCGTGCGTGTCCCCGTCAAAGTGTTGGTAACTGAGTGGTTGTTTGTGTGCGTGTGAGTGTGTTTGTGCGTGTGTTTGTGTGTGTGACCATTCATTTTGATTGTGGTCGTGCTGTCGACAGCCCCCAAGTATGCAACGCTTTCGAGCGCCGCAACACTGGGAAACGTAGCATACTTTTCAGGGCATTTTCCTCGCCTCCTAACGCTTTTCCCCTTTCCTTCGCCGCAGGCACAGGCACATCGGGCACCAGCTCATCCGGCGGGAACAGCCGTCCAGGCCACCGCAAGTCATCACTAGCCCTCGCCCTCACCCCGGAGGATGAGCCGATGGACGTCTACCAGGTGAGTCTGCCAATACACACTGCTGCCCATGCGGGAAGGGTGGGGGTGGTCGAGCGATCTGAGCCACATGGCTGTTACGTCTTTTGATAAGGTATCTTATCACGGGCAACACAGTTTATATGGCAGCGGGCCGAGCGGAGAGCGCTGCGCTTTTCGGTTTACATTCCGCTTTAAATAGCCGCTCACGCACACCAGCGCGGCACGATGTGTGTGTGTGTGTGTGTGTGTGTGTGTGCTTTGCCTATAAACAATACGCTGCCAGAGAAATCAAATCAATTAACATTGAAGGTGGGAAATCAAAAGGCAAAGAAAGAGATTATACCCCCGATCGACGCGACTCAATTCATTCCGTTTCAGTTCGCCGTTTGAGCGTAGCGAAGTCGCTTACTTTCGACCACAAAACCTGTGAATTATTTAGAACTGATTCCGCATTGAATCACCGATCGAGATACAGCTAGAGATACAGACACCCATCTAGATAGAGATCTAGATCGAGATTGTCGCATTAGAGGACGGCGTGGAAAAGTTGGAAATGCCACTCGCGACGCGCCGCGTTTCTATTCGTCTGTTCGCGTAGCTTATGCAAACAACTTGTTATTGATCTAAGACATTGGACCTCAAGTGGCGAGTGTAATTGTTTTGTCGCTGTCATTGTTATTGCCATACGGATTGATTCGCCCCACTCTCTGCGAGTGGCCAGTGGTCGTGGTCGTGGTCGAGTGTTGGTTTATAATTAGCAGAATGCGCAACTGCTTGCCAAAATTCAGCAAAGTCTTTCGCCGCAAGTCCTCCGCGAAGTCGTCCTCTTCGTCGGCCGGTCGAGAAAACCCGTCGAACGAGCCGGACTCCGACACGGAGCCGTATGCCATAGCCAACACGGCTATATCCGAACGGAGTGGAGATAACCGTAATGAAAGACCAAGACCGCTGCCAGATGACGATAGCATTCGCAGCCGGCTGATAAGCGCTGCTCATTTGGATTTGAACTCAGATTCACCGGCAGTGCCGAGCAACGGAGGCCTTCGGCCAAAGAGCGAGGGTTCCTGCCCGGAAATGAAAGTGGAAACGGTTTCGGCGGCCACGTCGCCGCCTCGTCCTCTGCATGGGGCTCCAGGTCCAATGGCCATTTCCCTGCCATTTGTGGGACGGAATTCGAGTAAAACGCCCGAGGAAATGGAGCTGGAATACGAGGCGAATGTGGAGGCCGAAAGTCGTGACATAATGACCCCCCTGCGCCGCAACACAAGGCCGCTGAGCGTGTCCTTCGGCGGAGGAGGACGCAGTGCACTGCAGCCGGAAATAGTCGAGGCCATACGCAGCCTGGACGTCCCGGGCCTGCTGTTGAACAATCTGAGCCTCGACGGGAGCACACACCCGAGGGGGGAGCAACACAGGAGCCATGCGGATGAGGAGCCCCTGACACCGGGCCACGACCATGAGGACTCGGTGGTCCTTCGGCGCAAGGTCATCTGCCTGGAGCGCAAAGCGCACAGTCTGTACGAGCGCCGATTGCCCAAGGTGCCGAAACTCCATCTCCAGGTGGCTGGCAAGAAGAGTCCTCCGCCGACGGAGGAGGAGGAGTTCCGCACTTTCCAGGTAGCTTTCAGCTTTCGCAGGACCAACTTTTACGCTCGGCATTGCCACTGGCATTGGCATCGGCATAGCCATCAATCTGCCGCCTTAGCCGCGTCTTACGCCGTGTTGTGATACATTTCCGATTACATTTTCATTCCTCCTGAAATGTGATTGACACTGAGCCCCACCCACCGTCGGCGGATTTAATGTGCTCGTATTATAAATCTGCAGCGCACAAGCGTGCCACACACAAGTCAGAATCAGCAGCGAGCAATTTTATTTTAATTTATCATCATTTAAGCGACACGAACGACGACACACACGCATTGTGCCTCCTGGCCGGGGATACATGCAGATAGATATACATACGTGTATACAGATACAGATACGCAATGCGAAGCCGGGTTAAGCCCTCTTATTTTGATGGCAAAGCCGGAGGAGCTGCAGATTTATATTAAATTTTACACGTTGTCCCACCTGTTCCGACACCATCCCCCATTCACGTTTCTTTCCTCTTTTTATGTCCGGATGCAGCGCAATCTCATGGACCTGAAGTATCCAACCGTGCTACCACCGAATCCCCCACTTAAGGTAAGCCCTGCTCGGACCACTTTGGACATGGGGCAATTCAATCAGTGCAATGGCTTTGACCCGCCTTTCAGGCCCTCCTGGTTTTCCACAAGTCGGACAGCATCTGCGAGGCGATCACCGCGGCCTGCCAGCGCCACCAGCTGGACGTCACGCTGGTCAAGTCCAAGGAGGAGGCCCTGGACACCCTGCAGAAGTCGTACGCCACCGCCCAGTGCTACCACCTAATCATAATTGATGCGCGCTCCTCCAAGAACCTGGATGCGGAGCACATTGCGAGGTGGGTAGTGGCAGATGTGAAATGGGTTTCGGGTCGAGTTTGTTCCCGGGCTTGGGTTGGCCGCCAAACTTCTCGAAACTTTTCCATTTTCATAAACTTTTCACTTTGCTATAAAACTTGACGTCTCCTCCCCACAGAACCATTCGTCACACACACGGCCACCATTTAACGACAATAATTGCAGTCTGCAAGAAGAGGTAAGTTCACTGCTCAGCAGTTGGGCGCCAATTTCCACTAACGACTTACGACTTACGACTTTCGACCGACTACTTTTGCAGTTTCTTCGAAAAGGATGATGTGCTAATTGCTCTATTGGACGCTGGCGTTAATAGAGTAAGTTTCCGTTAATTGCCCCATCGCAGGAAGGGATCTGGTCGGGGGAAAGGGAAAGGGAAAGAGAAAGAGAAACAGATGCTACAATGCCACCTTGTGTCTTGTGTATCCACAGTGCGTAGCGGAGACGACCAACCTGGCCATGTGCAGTGTGGAACTGAAGCAGATACTGCACTCCATCATCCGGCCGCACAACGTCATGTCCACTCAACAGGTAATCTAGTTAATGCCCCACCGTCACTCGGCCATTCGCTTCTGCAAATTAATTCAATTAAATGGAAGCGTGCAAGGGCTGTCCTGCAGGCCAATGAAATTGTAAACCCGTTCTCATCCCCTCTTTGTCCCCAGGCCCTCTACACGGCTCTGCACCGGCTAAAGGAGGTGGTGCTCATCACGGACGACTTGCTGCGGATTCAGTACGCGAACCGTGCCACCGAGAGGCTGCTCAACATGCGGCTGGTAAGTGGGTATGCGTGGGCGGGTGGATTGTTTGCGATTGCGGCACTAATGAGATTTCCGCGTTGGACAACAGGACGAGATCATTAGCAAGCAGCTGGAGGACATATTTGTGTCGGACCTCTCCACCATCAGCGAGCAGTGCAAGAGCATCAAGGAGTTCGACGGCATCCTGACGGTGCGTCGCAAGAGCCAGGAGGGCATACCCATGCACGTGCGCGTCGTGCCGGTGGCCTGCATAGGCAGGTGAGTGACCACCAATCGTCCTGCGATCCCCTGGCCATAGAGTGCGTCTAATTGGCAATCTTGTCCCAACAGCGCCCCCACGCACCTGATTTTCAACTTCGATGTGCCCGGCGGGCAGATGGACTTTATAGCCACGCTGCCGCAGCCCAAAGAGGCGCCTCGGGGCTCCCTGCACTCGGTGCGGCGCTGCAGCTTTGATGTCCGCTCCATCGCCTCGGACGGATTGCGGAGAACGAGCTTGGCCAAGCTGACGTCGCTGCCACTGGAGGCACCCATCACTAAAGTATGACTCCGCTTCCGCACTTGGGTTGTGGCTGCAGCACGTTGCAACTTTGGGGGGCTTTTGGGATTGCCTAAATTGCTAAATTGCCGTCCGTGCCTGTGCCTGTGCCTGTGTCCGTCCGTGCTCCGTCTGTGTGTGTGTGTCCTGGTGTCCTGGTGTTCTGGTGTCCTGTCATGCCCCGTGGCATATGCAGCAATAGCAACGGCAGCAGCAGCAGCAACTGCAGCAGCGACAGCAATAACATTAGCAACAATATTTGCACAAGCACAAGCACACAGACCATCCACACTCGCACCCCCGACACAGGCACCGACACACAGTGAGATCCGAAGGCAAATGCATTTACCGGATTGGAGTAGTGCTGACTTTGACTACCGGTGTTTGTAGATGCGAAGGCCACGAGATGACAGCCAGCTCTCTGCTTTTAATTATCAAATTAGTCAATTAAATGTCCGCAATCGAAACGAAAGGATCTGAAGCACAGCTTTGTGATAAGTGGCGCCCGAGCAGGGGCTTAGTAACAAATGGCGCCCAAGCAGGGACCTTTCACCGGTGAAGTCTGTGTTTAAGGATTTGCAAGCAAGAAAGCACTCTCCAAGCTAGCCAAATGTATTTGACGTAAATGGGTCGTTTTTAACCCACATTGCTCCACTGTTCACCCATTTGAGCTCCTAATTTGTCACATACTTAATGCCTACTAATCCCAAATTCAACAGTAACAGCACATCTAAGCCACCATGTTCTTACATTGATTCTCTTTTTATCTCTTAATTGTTATGTTCTCTTTTTTACTTTTATGTTTTGTGTACTCGAACAATGAACCAACTCATAAAAAATATTACAAATAATGTACCAAACTGTTCGTTCGCACGTTCGCTCGCTCGCTCGATTTGCTCGCTGTGCGTCGCTAACCAAAATATAAAAAAAATAATTACAAAACTCAAAACCAACAAACACAACCGAAAAAACCAAAATCGAAACAAAAACAAAAACAAATCAAACGCAACCACTGCGCACTCGCACATTAGATAATCAATTTACTATCACAAGTACAGGAGAATTGTTCGGCCGATGAGGCGCGTCTCATAGACAAGGTCTTGGAGTTCCTGAAGCGCGAGGGACTCTACAGTCCGCAAATGAAGGAGATACGAACGGACGATCCCATAGCCACCGATCTAATCGGTGCCTTGCTCACGGTAGGCGCAACACCTCCCGCCAATGGGATGCATCTAACCAGAATTGGCTCTTTCAGGGTCCCAGCGTGTACTCATCGCGCCGCAGCTCGAATGACTCCATCATACGCACGGGCAGCTCCACGAGAACTGCCGCGATTGTGCCCGCCAAAATGAAGGTGGGTATTCAGATTGGTCTACACTTGTATCATGTGTCACGAAGTGCGCTGTCTTGCAGTCCAATCCCATCATCATGGAACTACTTGACGAATCTCTCAGCTGGGACTTTGATATTTTCAAACTGGAGGAGATCACCGACTACCACCCGCTGCTCTACCTGGGCATGGAGATGTTCCGCCGCTTCGACGTCTTTGCCACCCTGAACATCGATGAGAACGTGTGCAAGGCCTGGCTGGCAGTGATTGAAGCCCACTACCGCAAGAGCAACACATATCACAACAGCACCCATGCCGCGGATGTGATGCAGGTGCGTTCCTGGTGGCCGATCCTTGCCCGTACAATCTCATAATACCCAAAACCTGTGTCACCGTAGGCCACTGGCGCTTTCATCACCCAACTGGCCAACAAGGATATGCTGGTGATGGATCGCATGGAGGAGGCGACTGCTCTGATCGCCGCCGCCGCCCACGACGTGGATCATCCTGGTCGCTCATCCGCCTTCCTGTGCAACTCGAACGACGCCCTGGCCGTACTGTACAATGATCTGACCGTGCTGGAGAACCATCACGCAGCAATCACCTTTAAGCTAACGCTGGGTAGGTGTCTTCCCAGCCTTCGTTAAAAGGCACTGAAACTCATGTTGTGTGTGCACATACTTCCAGGCGACGATAAGATCAACATTTTCAAGAACCTGGACAAGGAGACGTACAAGTCGGCCCGCAGCACCATCATCGACATGATCCTGGCCACCGAGATGACCCGCCACTTTGAGCACCTGGCCAAGTTCGTGAGCGTCTTTGGCGGCGAGGAGCCGCGTGATGTGAGTCCCCATACACTGGCATAACTCTGTAGGGAACAGCAGCTAATTCATGTATTTCTACCACTAGCACAACCCCCAGACGGACGAGGAGACGTCCATACTCATGCGCCGCATGCTGATCAAGGTGGCCGATGTGAGCAATCCCGCCAGGCCGATGCAGTTCTGCATCGAGTGGGCGCGCCGCATAGCCGAGGAGTACTTCATGCAGACGGACGAGGAGAAGCAGCGTCACCTGCCCATCGTGATGCCGATGTTCGATCGGGCCACCTGCAGCATACCAAAGAGCCAGATCGGCTTCATCGAATACATCATACAGGACATGATGCACGCCTGGGAGAGTGAGTTCGGGGTGGCAGATCCTGCAGAGCAGCAACCAATGGCTTTCGTCCTTTGCAGGCTTCATCGACATGCCGCAGCTGATCACCTACATGCAGATCAACTACTCGCAGTGGAAGAAGTACGACGAGCAGGGCGTCAACACGCTGGCGGAGATCATGGCCAAGCAGCCACCGGTGGGCAAGATGGCCAACTCCAAATAGCATACGGCCTTCCGGAGATTGTTCTCGGGTCTACTGAAGCCACTGCCGGCCCAGGCGCCTGGTACCTCCACGATTGGCGAGAACGAGATGGAGGACGTGCTCTAGTGACGGCGTCGAAGGTCCTGCGACGTCTGGCTCCGGACCCGCAGTCTCTCGGCCTAATCCTCCCACTGAAGTCACTGAAGCTCATCATCACGGCTTGAAGCCCACCCGAGTTCACCCGAGTACACCCGAGTCCACCCGCTCCCTGGACTGCCCCACACTTATCTCTGAACGGACCAACGGACTGGGGGCGGGGTCACGGAGTGGGCGGCTGGCTTAGGAAGTGCTGCCCTGAGCGGTGTCACAAATGCGGTATCATGCAAAGCAAAACTAACTAAGGCAAACAAGTAAACAATTATTGGGCTGGACTCAAAATTAAATGTTTAAGATGCATCACAAGAAGCGAACTTTCTATTTCTATATAAATATATACCATGTGAGTCTGTGTGTGCGTGAGTGTGTATGTCCCTCCATCCCCATATAAATGAGTATGTGTTTAGGCTAACGAAAGCAGACTAGCAGGCTAGCAGACTAGCATGCTGTGCTAGCAAGCTAGCAAGCAAGCTGGCAAGAAGTCCACAGCATATTGACCAGATCATATGGCGTGCGCTCCACTGTACCTGGCAACGGTATAATGTATAACAGTATAACGGTTTTGGCGACCGTATAGCGGTACTACCGAACCAAGTGTTACCAGCATGTAGTTCTCTCCCATCATGAAGACAATCTCTGTTAAATACTGCAAGGCCAAGTAAATGTAGTTTAATTGCTGTCCAAGTCAGAATCGTGATCGGATTAGGATTCGGATTCGGACTTGGATTCGGGTTCGGAACCAGTACAAGGCCATAGCTAGACGAAGACTATACATACTATATACATATGCACATGCGGGCGAGATCGCGGCAAGCATAATACATATATACCACTATCACTAGCTAACCAGCTAACAACTACAAGTAAAACTGAAACAAACTAATTCGAATCCACTCTTGAGACATATGAAATCCTATGGGGCCCCTTTACTACCTAATTATCTAGTTACCTATTTTCCTAACTGAAGAAAAACGCGAAATGATGAGCTATCCTAACTAATACTATTAATGTTGTTTAGCTTTCTAAGCATACGGTATGAGAAATCAAACTAAACGCAGATGTTTACCAATTAAGTGAAATCCTTTTTGAAATCTTTTTATCTAATTGACTGAACAAATTACATATACATATATAAACCAGATCTATTAATACGAGTTGATAATACGTTCTTGTTATAACTAAATGATGAAATGAAATGGAAAAGCAAAATAATATATACAATATACATATATACAATTTATACAACTTTTACGAAGCATATTATATATTTATATATGTCATACGATATCGGCATTCATTCACAGAGTTACAGTAATTCGTATGTGTTACCAGGTGTTAAATCCGTGCTTCAGAATGTTTTGATAGAAGTTATATACACGCCCACAACTCCCCTTTGGCCCTCCTGTGTGGCAAGGTCCAGTTGCAAGGTCTGCAGACCACCACCCACACCACCCAGTCTGATCCACCCACCCAACAACCCCCACCAACCCACATTTTCCGCGCCCACACTTCGTATCACTACCGATCGCATTAAATCGGAAAAATCACAACTGAGCGATAGGAGAATATAAATGTATTTGCATATTCAGTGTTGTTAATATGTGTGTGTTTCAATTGAGTGTATTGGATTAAACGCGTGAGTTACAAAAGCGCAAAAATTGAGTAAATAAAGCAAAAGCTGTTCGTAATGTGGAATGCTAAAGTAAAATGCGAAAACAATTTACACGTTATGAAGAATATACATATATGTATACATATAATATTTATAGATATGGTACTACTACATGTTTCTGAACACAAAAATGATACATCTTTACATACAACTATGTATATTTGTTACTACATCTGTTTGCTCCTTGCAGGTTAAGGATTATAAGTGTTAAGATTTAGTCAAATTTATTGTAAAAACCAAACACAACAAAAAACAAAAACAAACACAAACAAGAAACAAAAACAAACGCAAACGCAAATAATACAAATAAAAATCCAGCAAAATGGAACTTATCTACAAAAGCCGCCGCGAAAGAAAGCGAAATTCGGGGGATCGGGTCAAGGTTGTTGGCCAACTTGGCCAAGCTGGCCAATCACAGTCCCATATACGATTCTATACCTGCCTAACAGCGCCATTAGCATTTCATTCACTCCGTCAATAATGATCTATTCATTTGGCGCGAACCCAGCCCTCTGTGAATGCAAACAACCTGTTTCCGCAGCTAATGGCTGGCATTCTTCCCACTCGCCGACTGCCCAAAAGCGTCTTCTTAATTTCACCTGGCCGCCTCGATCGCAAGGTAAACAAGGCGTGCGTTTCCAGCCCGAAAACTTTCTTTCGGACGCTCCGAACAAAGAAAGTCTTACAGCACCATCGATTCATGCAGCCCAAAATCGTGTCGCATTTGTGTAAAAACGAGTCCGGTTACGCGTTAATTGCATAATGCCGCTGTTGTCTTGGCGATGGATTCGTGATGCTCATTAGCGCTTTGGGAAAAAAAATGTGGAAAATTGTATTAAATTTTTTTCAGTTAGTTACTATATCTATAACTTGATATTCCCATACTAAGCGGTTTGAAATAGGAGATCTAGATAGAATCGGGTTGCCACCGAAGCGAGCAAACATGGCCTGTTTTTATAAAGGTAACTATGTCTTTATGCCCTCCGATTTGAGGTCCCTTGACGATCGTGTCACGCTGCCATCGCCAAGTGGAGGAAAGAGCCGAGATTCTGCTGCCGATCCACGGGTGTTTCTCAAGCAGCGTTTAATGCGGTTTCAACTGCCGAGCCGATCAGTTCGATCAATCGTTCGCCCACTTGAGCCCAACTCATCCGAGACCCAAGATGCCCCAGTCGAGCTTCTTTGCCAAGAGCGTGCCCTTCGAGCAGATCGATAAGCTGGCCATCAGTGGCGGCTACTCCTCTATCTTCGCCAGCAGCCAGCCCTCGGTGCCGGTGGTCGGAAACTGGCAGCAGCGCTTCTGCCGCCTGGCGGACACCTTCCAGCCGGTCCTGGATCGGGTGTACGACTTCGAGGTCCGGGAGGACGACGTGTGGATTGTCACCCTGCCGAAATGCGGCACCACCTGGATGCAGGAGCTGGCCTGGCTGGTCATCAACAAGTGCGATTTTGAGGCGGCCAAGAGCGTGGATCTCACGCATCGATCGCCCTTCCTTGAGTGTGTTCCAAAGCCATTCGCGTAGCCTAGTGCAGCGTACTAATCCAACAATCCTCGCCAGGTTCAATGGAGTGGTTCCCAATGTGCCGCACGACACCATCGCAGCGGCGAACGCGCTGCCCTCGCCGCGTCTGATCAAGTCCCATCTGCCCGCCTGGATGCTGCCGCGGCAGATCTGGAGCAAGAGGCCCAAGATAATCTATGTGTACCGCAACCCGAAGGACGCGGCCATCTCGTACTTCCACCACTGGCGGGGAATGGTGGGCTACCAGGGCACCAAGTCGGACTTCATGCACTCCTTCATCGATGGCTATGTGAACTTCACGCCCTGCTGGCCGCATATCCTGGACTTTTGGCAGCTGCGCCACGAGCCCAACATCTTCTTCACCAGCTACGAGCGCATGAAGGGTCAGCTGGGCCAGGTTATCTCGGAGGTGGCCCAGTTCCTGGAGCGCAGTGTCAGCCGGGAGCAGATCCAGCAGATGCAGCGACACCTCTCCTTCGAGAGCATGCGCGACAATCCCGCCTGCAACCACGTCAAGGAGTTCGAGAGCATGAAGGCGGCTGCGGGCAGGCAGGTGGAGGAGTTCAGGTAGGTCCTTGCATCCATCGAACACGGACTCGTGCTCTCCAGGAGCAGGCTAATCCGCAGCTCCCCCCCCCTCCCCCCACACAGGTTCGTTCGCCGCGGCGTCGTGGGCAGCCACAAAGATGAGCTCACCGCCGACATCATACGGGAGTTCGATCTCTGGTCCGACAGCAATCTGCGGGATTTCAAATTGAACATGGATGACTTTGCCAACTACAGCAAGTTTGCGTCCGCGTAATTCTCCCTAATTGTTTTCCACGCAAAGTGGCACCGTGTTTCTTGGGTAATCTTCGCTAATACGTTAATAGTCTGTAAGCTGTGGTGATATAAATCTTTAATAAATAATTGCTCCCCCTACTGCATGCAACTCAATTATTTTATGAGCGAATGCTTACTCCATTATCTACTATGACCGCATTAAGTGGTAATGATGATAAGTAACATGTAAAATTATAAACAGCACTTATTGTCATCTTTGTGATCCCAAAGCTACTTTCTTTGATATAAGCACAAAGTTTCACCTACTTTTTGATAGCAGCGCATATTCATCTTGGCTCTGCTTGTTTTCATGCAATTATCAACCGAAATGAAGAGAGCGTCCCATTAAAAACAAATCAAACAACCACAGTGCCATCTTATCATCGCAATGGCAAAGAGAGAACTGAACTGAGGCCCTTCTCTTAAATAACAGTTCCCCAACCAAGCCAACTATCTTCCCCATTTAAACTCAGTAAGCTATCGCCATGGATCGGGTTCGGGTCACGCCGCGGAGCTATCCCACGAACCTCATCGATAAGGATTGGGCGAACCGAAGGCTTATGTATAGGCGAGATTCGGAGCACTTTCTGGGCTTAGTGCACGACATGAAACTCAGAGAGGACGATGTGTGGATCGTAACTCTGCCGAAATGTGGAACCACTTGGATGCAGGAGTTGCTTTGGCTGCTGCTCAAGGACTGCGATTTCCAGGGCGCGTTGGCCAAGGATCAGGAGCTACGAACTCCGTTTCTTGAGTGGGTATATACCCATTGGTATCGGTATCGATGGGCATATAAGCACTCACACCGCTATGTCTTCCAGGTTCGGTTACTCCGTTTTCGGGGACGTGAACCGGGCATTCGGGCCAGTTGAGGAACTGAAGTCGCCACGACTGATAAAGTCGCACCTTCCGCTTGCTCTGCTGCCCTCCAAACTTTGGGAGGGAAACCACAAAGTGATCTATGTGTTCCGTAACCCTCTGGACGCCTGTGTCTCCCGTTACTATCACGGGGTATCCTTTGGTTTTAACTACAGGAAGTCACTGCACCAGTACTTCGATGAGACGTTTCTATCCTCTGATGACTTCCCAACGGAGCTCATTGAACATGCCCATGAGTTCTACCAGCTGAGACACGAGCCTTGGGTCTTCTATACCAGCTTTGAAGTGATGAAGAAGGATCTGCGAGGAGTGATCAAGGATGTCTCCAGATTTCTGAATAGGCCCATCAACGATCAGCAAATGGAGCAGCTGCTGAAGCATTTGTCCTTCGAGGAAATGAAGAGTTGGAAGTCCATGCGCACACAATGATCTCATGAAGCTAAATGAATTTGCTTTTCAGAAAATCCCACAACGAATCATCTGTGGGAGTTGGCCCAGATTCAATACGAAAATGCTCGCAAAGAGGTGCACCCGTAAGAGAAAGTCGCACAGTTTTCTGAATACCTAACCAGACTTAACTAATCTTCCAGATTCGTGAGACGTGGGGATGTCAATGGCTACAAGGACGAATTGAAACCCGAACAAATTGAGAAGGCGAATGTCTGCTTACAAGAGATTCTGGCGAAGAACGCAGTGACTTTGGACGAACTACTGCTCCTAAATGGTCCCTGAGATACACCTGAAGATAAGTGAATATAGAACTATAATTCTTTGGAGAGATAATGAAAGATAATGTAGAAATAGCTAAGTGAGCGAGATAAAAGCTAGGTCAAGCTTGTTGCCGAATAAAACACCTGGATGTGTGAATGTTTATCTAAAGATTCGCTTTAATTGATGTATAAAAAATGTAGTGAAATATTTAAGGCACACGTAGACATATACTAACTAACACTGAAGGCGGCAGAGAAGGATTCAGCCCTAGGCGGTGGAGGTCTCCACCTTCTTGGCGTTGTCCTCCTTGGAGGAGGGACCAGTCTGTGTGATCTGCACCAGGCGTTCAGTCTGCGGAGGAGGCAGCGCCTTCATGGGCGCCTTGATGGTCAGCAGGCCGTCGGAGGAGAGGGAGGATGTGACCGTGTCGGGGTTGACATCACCTAAGATCAAGCCACATACGGGTAAAGTAAACTGCCTGTTGTTGATAGAAAGCGAACTCACTTGGCAGCTGGTAGCGTCTGGAGAACTGGCGGGAGACATAGCCGTGCTCGTCCTGCTTCTCCTCGTGCTTGCCCTCCACGATGACGAACCTGTCGGCCACCTTGACGGTGATCTCGGACGGCGAGAACTGCTGCACATCCAGGATGACCTCGAACTTCTCGCTATCGATGTTGAGCGTGGATCCGGACTCCTGCTTCTGCAGGCTGTTCTTCTGCCAGGGGCGCAGGTAACCCGATCGCAGCACAGTGGGGCGCGAGTTCCACACGGAGGACATGAGGTCGTCCCTCTTCAGTCCCTGGCCGAAGTGCTGGTCCAAGAGGCGCGAGGTGCGCATTGGAAAGTCCAGCTCATCCCACCAGTCACGGAACATCAGGGGCACTACGGACATCTGGTTTGATCAAGAAACGAGACGATTGTGAGCTAATCACTGCCCTTTTTCACTCTCCAATGTATTCCGCGTGGGCTTTGTCCTTCCTCGTACCTTAGATTCAATTCACGTTAATGGGCGCGTCTGTTTCGATTCGCGGCTGCTGCGATTTTGATGGAGCTCCTCGAGCATTCACACGATTTTATACCCTCAGCAGATTGTTTACATCTTCCCCACGGGCTAAAAATATGAAAATTTATTTCCCATCTAAATTTAAACGAGCGTCATACTCTCTAGCGAACATTCTGAATCTATTCAAATATATGTATGCCAAACACGTATCTTTGATGCCAAACTGCCAACGATTTTGGCCTGTTTTGTTTGTTTCCGTGGGAGTCGCTGATTTGGAGACTCAGTCGGCTGAGTTGGTGACCCAAAGAAGATTCTATAAGTTCCATCTTAGTCACTGGGCAGACAAGCCTTTTTCGGAGTTGAACTGATAGTGTTTCGCATTGTTTGTTCCAGAAGAAAACATTCCGTTCTGTATACATTTTAGGCGCCTGCAAATGCGATTCAGAAAATCCAAAGTGCAAAATGTGCTCTGGAAAATGCCAGAAGAATTTCTCGACATTTTACGCCCCCTTTACTCTGTAGATATATAGGAATTTTCATAATTTTCTACCTGTTGAGACTGCTGATTTGACGTGGCCAATATGAAAATACTTTGGCCACTAAATGACTTGTGAACTATTTTAGGCAGCTGCCACTTTTGCTTATTTCTCGCTTTTCCTCTGCTGAGTCATGTCGCGTGCGTTTTCCATCAGACGAACGCGATGACGTCGCTCAAAACAAAGGAATTTGCAGCATTGTTTTGATATTTATGCCGGCAATTTGGCTGAATTAGACCCGCATCAATCAATATTTATTAATTAAAATATTCATGCCATATGTCGACTTAAGTGAAAGATTTATTGCATATACCAAAGCTCCGCCTTACAGTGCTCAGCTATAATTATATAGATATAATATTGTAATTATTAATTATAATTAATGTACGCCTGAAGCAAGTATCTTTCCAATGTCTTGCACTGGTTCTAGTTTTTGGCTGCTCACACTTTGGGACTGGCCCTGTATTTGGCTGTGTACCCAGCACAGCCAAACAGTGAGGCAATCCCCCTCGAAATGGGCCAAAAGCACACCAACACCACTGCAGCGGTGCACTCGCTGGCTGCGTGTGTGTGTGTGTGTGTGAGTGTGAAAGTAGTGAAAGCTGAAAGCTGAGAGCCGAGGGCGAACGGGGCCAATACTTATGCTTATGCAAGGCAGCCGAGATGCCGACGCCACCGCCCCAAAGGGAGGCGAAGAACGGAAAAACAGGCGACATTCATCGCAGGACGTGCGGCACGTGAAGTGTTCACTGTACTTCGGAAGCGGAGGATAGGTCAAGGCGTCAACAGAGCAATCTCCAGGATGGTGAGCTACAAAAATAAGCGAAAATCACGGCAGTTGTGAACTAGCTGCTAAGGTGTTCAAAAGTTTTCGGGGGAAAGTAGTGGAACTACAAAATTCGTTGCCTGCTTTTAGGCACTTTATGGTTATGGTTATATGTGGCGCACGCATCCTGGCTTAAATCGTTTTCACTTTCTTGGCTACATTGCAGTGCGCCGCCCACTCGCTGCCCGTGACGTCACGACTGTTGCTTCTGGTGGCGACGCTACTGTTCTGCCCTGTGCAGGCGCATCTCTCGAAGCGAAGCTACTCGGATCAGAGTGTCCACGGCTACATGACCGAGGTGGCTATGGATAACAGGTGGTACATTGTGGCAGCGAGCTAACCCTTGGTTTTGCAATGCATTCTAGCGCACCTGCTGGTGGAACGAGGTGTGCAAGGAGGAGTTCCAGAGCCTCTTCCGCTGCAAGTGCCCCCAGTTCTCCTACTGCCGGTGAGTTTCCGTTTCCGGCAATGGCGCGGGGGAAACCGAATTAGCTCTGCTTCCTTCCCCTGACTCGGTTCTCTGGCATTACTTTCGCATTTCGCAGCTCGCCGGGACGCTACTACAATGCCTACTGCTCGATGACGGACACCGGTTATATTTGGACGCAGCCGAACTGGGATTGGGGGGCGTAGGATGAAGCCGCTCCGGACCCTGCCCCCGCCACGCCCCCTCACCGCCAGCACAGCTCGCTGTGACGTCAAACACACTGACTGCCGACCAAATGACCCCGCAGCCCAAGCGCAAATTATTCCAGTAGGCTCCCACTTCGCGCCTCCTGCCCAGCCCCCAAAGCACTCTAGTGGAGATGAGCTAGTCTCCCCCGTTGTTATCGCACCTCGCGCCGAGCAAGAAGCTCCAAGTGTCGCGTTACTTTTCGCCTGCACTGTTCCGCGCGGCTGTTGGAAAATCAATACAGGCTTTCCCATTCACGACGGCTTGCGGCAGGGCCACAGTGAAACAAAAGCGACTAGTTCTGCACTTTTCCAGGTCAAATTGAACGAAAACCAAACGATGTTAAGCCTATAAATAGGCATATTTATACGTTCCTAGCACTTTTTTAATAAACTTATGGCAGACAGTCATTCACGCCCTGTCTCCCACTCACAAATGTATGTTCCAATATTTAAAACAGCGTCCTCGTCGCTTCCAGTCCCATTCTCACCAGTGAGGTGCTCGCTTTCATGTAGTTGGTCCCACTGTGCAGGACCAAGGCGCAAGCGCCGCAGTGAAAGGGAAAATCGAACAGCGTGGGAGTGCGTGTGCGAGTGTGTGTCTGGAGCAGAGCCAGTTAATCTATTGCCAGCTCGACATATAGACACCGCCAACAGATGTTGGCAGTGAGGAAAATCGAGTGAGCGAAGCCAGAACCGAGTCGCCGTTGTTTTGGGTGCAGAAAATCGCAGGACTTCCGGAAAATGTCGCGCCTCCTGTTCGTGACGCTGCTGGCCATCAGCCTGGGATGCGTGGCGCCCAGCAGCAGCAACCACCTGACACCTGCGGGCCTGGCCGTGGACCTGGGTCCAGGCGTGAACCTCAACGAGCGCTTCTTCGACCAGGTGCGGGCGCTCATCAAGCGCAGGCTCCAGGAGAAGGGGCTTGCGAAGCCGGAGCAGCCGGAGCTGCCACTGCCACTGGCTGATGATGATGCAGTGGCGCTGCAGAACCAACGCAGCTACGACAACGTGCCGCTTCCGGCGGCCAGCGTTCCGACTCCGGTGCTCGTGGAGAACTGGCCCACCGAGCAGCACAGCTTTGGCCAGGTCACCGCCGTGGCCGTGGATCCGCAGGGCAGTCCGGTGGTCTTCCACCGTGCCGAGCGCTACTGGGATGTAAAGTAGGTCAACAGCTGGCGCTGCCTGGTAACAAGTGTCTATCCCATATGTACACAGGAAACAGAAAGCCATCAGTGCGTTCTTTTGTTCTTATTGAAAACTGAAGGCATAGAGTACATTGTTACCATTGATATATAGTTAGGATCAGGTTACTAATACCATGTACGGTAATATGGCCAATACCTTTGCAGCACATTCAACGAGAGCAATATATACTACCTTATTGAGTACGGACCCATCAAGGAGAACACCATCTACGTGCTGGACGCGAAGACGGGAGCCATCAAGTCGGGTTGGGGATCGAACATGTTCTACATGCCTCATGGCCTGACCATCGACCTGCACGGGAACTACTGGATCACGGATGTGGCCATGCACCAGGCCTTCAAGGCAGGTGCACTCTTTATGCCAATGAGCAATCCTTTAACCTTATCCATCCATTAGTTCAAGCCCTTTGGCAACAAGCCGCTGCTCACCATTGGCAAGCGGTTCAGGCCCGGCTCATCCGTCAAGCACCTGTGCAAGCCAACATCCATTGCAGTGGCGAGCACCGGAGAGGTAAGTCATGCCTGTTGCTCTGCTTGGCTTCCGAGCTCACTGAATCCCCGCTCCGCAGTTCTTCATCGCCGATGGCTACTGCAACAGCCGCATACTCAAGTTCAATGCCGCTGGCAAGCTGTTGCGTACGATTCCCCAGCCACCCGGTGCGTATACTTCATTTTTACCATGGTCCAACATCCGGATTTTATTAGGAACCTAGCCTTTACTTATACCAAATTTATTTAACGAATTATGCTATGTAAACTTCTCCTAAGCCAGTAACTAATAACATTTGCTAACGAAATTCTGCAGAATTCCTCTCCTTGCAGGTGCCACACGCCATCACATTGCTGGAGCACCTGGATCTGCTGTGCATCGCTGACAGGGAGAACATGAGGGTGGTCTGTCCCAAGTAAGCTGAACTAGAGTAGCCCTAACTACAGAATATCAACAAGTAATCTTCAACAGAGCTGGCTTGATATCCTCCCACGGCGAGGGTGAACCGGCGGCCACCATCCAGGAACCGGACTTGGGTCGCGTCTTCGGAGTGGCCAGCTTCGGAGACATAGTGTTCGCCGTGAACGGACCCACCTCCATGCTGCCGGTGCGGGGATTCACCATCGATCCGCGCTCGGAGACGATCATCGGGCACTGGGGCGAGTTCAAGAATCCGCACTCCATGGCGGTCAGTGTCAACGGATCGGCGCTTTACGTGACCGAGATCGGAACCAATCACCAGACGAATCGAGTGTGGAAGTATGTGCTGGCCTGAGCCTAAGCCAAACCCGAATCCCTCAAAGAACCCGACTTGCACTGCGCTCCTGCATATCCCTAGACCCATAGATTCCTCCCAACTAGTTGTCAGCAGAAACAGAACCACAATCAGAGCCGAATCAGATACAGATTATAGCCGATTATAACAGATCCTAAGCCTAAGCTGAGCCCACACCAAGTACAGTTTAACGTGACCAGTTGTCAGATCAATAGAGAATAGTAAGTGCTTAAGTAATGTACAAGTTAAGTATGTAAATTGCTTGAAAACAATACCACAACAAACATAACCTCAGACTCTTATGTTTTGCACTGTAATGAGCAAACGAAAACGAAATTACACAGCAGCTTAAATAGTACATATACTTAAATGTAATAGTTATGCGTAGGCACTAACTAGGCACGAATGTGAGGATGTGGGGACGTGAGCATGGAAAGCCGATTTCGCAGATAACCGGGGGCAACCAGCGCATATAACATACTTGTGTACCATATTGTAACCTATATCAAATATATAATCGTATCTGTATCTTATCAACTTATCGTAGCCCATGTAAATTATGTATGTAATAAACTGTTGTTGTTGTGACGTGAACGCCAAGCCCGCAGGACACCAAGGGGTTCAGATGCTTTAGATGGCTCAGATCCAATGACTATATCCCCCTCAGGGAAAGGAATGTTAACAAGACCTTAGAGCTTGGAAACGGCATTGGTAAACCTCCACCTTTCTTACAAATGTTTAACTTAAATTGATGGGAGCGGCACGTTTGCATGGCAAACAATTTACAATTTGTGGAAAGATGAGAGCATAACTTAAAGATAACCAAATATAAATAGAAAACTTTAACACATATAAAAATAAAAATGATTGGGGAATGCAGCTGCTGTCAGGAGGAACCCAACCAGTGCCTGACGAAAGATAGAGCCTCATTTAGGTGCAACAGCCATTCTGAGAGCTCCGTTTGCGTATCGGCAGCAAAGAAGACGCCCGATTCGCAATCGGATTCCTTTCCACGCAGCAGGAAGCTTCTCGCCCGAGCGCACAGCTCTCGTGGGGCTGCAGCTATGAGGGACTGTCCACGTGCTGGCAACTCCATCGAGAAAATCGGGGTGTCACTTTCCAAATTAACTTCATGTTGCCAAACGGATAAACGCACGCCATCCAGACTGCACCATCTGCGGTTCCAGTGGTGTTGGCTCTTCGGATCCTGCACATTAAGGTAGCCAGAGAACCGGGTCTTGGGCAGCCGTAGGTCCACTCTTCCAGTGATGGATATAGCAGGTCCCAGATTCGTGGATTTGGTGTGCGTGCTTAGGGGAACTTGCCAGGAGTGTGAACCACGCAGGCAGATTTTATCGCTTGATCTCGATTCATTCGCCACCAGTTGAAATGGTGACAGGTCCACAGCCCGCAGATTGAAGGAAGCATGTAGGCGAAAGCGCGACATGATTTGTTCACCACCAGAGCCCGCAGAACAGCTGGAGTTGGCGGAACCCAAATTGCCACTGCCACGTCGCTGCAAGGTAACTCATTAGCGAACTGCCTCCGGGGACAACTGAAGCTACTTACCAGTGACTTGGCCGGCTCCAAGGCCAGTGTGGAAACCTTGCGCAAACGAAGCATGAAGATCTGGCAGCGCAGCTCCAGGGAGTCCGCATTATCGCCGCCATAGAACTCCAAGCCACAGTCCCGAAAGAAAGCGGAGCCATTCTGACACTCTACCGACTGCGTGGATCGAATGCGTCCTCCGCACTCAAAGGTGCAAATGTAGTGGTAGTTGAAGAACATGTCCCGGCTGACATCCGCCCTCACCGGCAGTACCATGGCGTCGATCAGAAGGCACTGGGAAGACCTCCGTGCAGCCAAAGCTACATCATTCAATCGGGAACCCAGAGGAGCCGATTTTCGCAAAGTAGAGAAGAGCAGCAGTCGCTCCGCCTCCACCATCTCCGCAGAGATCTCCAGTTCGGGCATCTGGCGACATATGTTCACAGCTTGGGCCAGCTGTTCATTAGGGTTCAAGGAATCGCTTAGCAAGGAGTCCACGTTGAAGCTGGCATAGTAGCTGCTGCTATCCAGCTCCCCATCCGTCTGATTCGATTGATCCCTCGACAGATTGAGGCTCTGGGTCAGGCGTTGCTTCTCCGCCAAGAAGAAGTCCTTTCCCTTGCGGTACGAACGACGAAGGGCATTCTTCAGCAGGCGGTAGCGGGCCAGAGCGCTGACCGACATCAGCTGGCTGTCACTGGGATTGGGCACCGTCTGCATGAGCTCACCCAAACTGCTGCTGTTGTGCAGAACGGAGGGGTCCACTGCCTGCGAGGCCTCCGCCTGCTGGGGAGTTGTGGGGCAGCTGATGCTTAGACTGTGGCCAAAATGGCGCAGTGACGTGGCTTGGCCATCATTAATTTCAATGGTCAAATTGGGAGCGGGCTGAAAGATCAATCATTACTCAGTTTCAACAACAATCTTATATTTGAAGTGCGTTCAGAAAGCTTTGGATGAGTACAGTGTGATAGTGGCTATTTACAAGATTTACAGTGGCAGATGTCAGATGCAAGCGAAAGCCTTAAGCTCTAGTGGGAGTCAACAAATATCTCTACCTTGGTTGTGAACCGCTGGCTCTGCTTCTTTTTCGGTGTGCTCTGGTTAGCCGGCTCGGGTTCGATTTGCCCAGAGCCGTAATCGTTGGTCACGAAGGAGCTGCCGGCGCTACCCGCTCCAACCAAGCTGTAATCTGCGTAAAGCTGCTCTCCACCGTCGTTGGGCAAGTCATACGAAACGGAATCCACATTGGAAGTGTTCTGTAAAGGCAATTGGCTTAGAAATGTGATAAATTGCAAAAACTGCAATGGCACTTACATTGGGCACCTTTTCCAGGCGATCCAACACCAGTTCACTGCGACACAGATTGTCTAGGAAGATCTCGCTGCGCTGCAGGGAGAGTTCCGAACGAGAAAGGTTCCGGATCTGCTTGGGTGGCGAATGCTGCTCACTTATGTTGTTCAAGGATTGGTGGGTAAGTGGTGAAGGCGAGTTTAACTTCGGCTGGCGAATCACAGAGGACTCAGTGGTCAGACTAGCTGAGCAGGAGGATTCCGAGCCGCTCGGTTCCTCGGGCAGAGGCATGAACTGGAAGAAGTTGCCGTTCTTCAGGGATTCGTGGAGAAAGTGACCCAAAGCTACAGGCTGCTGAGTAGTTGATGGAGATGGAACCAGCTGGGTTTTAGACTGGACGCAGCTTTTGGGTTGTACAGCCTGCTCAGGAACAACAGGTGTTGTTAGCGGCGGCGGGAAAGATTGAGTATTTTTCTGTTGCTGAATGGCTTGGAAACTGATCGGAGGCTTAGCAAGTGGCTTCATTTGGGGTGAGTTCTTCGGCGTCTTTTGCACCCTGGCGTACATGGCACTAATGTCATCGCGATAGGGCGACGGAGCAGGGATGGACTCACTCACATACGCGGTGGAGCTGTCCGTAGGAGTCGGAGTGTGCTCTATGATCTGCGCCGCGGTCCTAACCTCGTGGTGCGGACTCCCTCTGATCCGCATGCAGTCTTCCTCGATCTCAGAATAAATGGGCTCGCTATCGCGATCACGCTGTAGCCGTGTGGTGGCCAGCGATGTGGTTGCCCCACTGCTGGGCCCGTCTGTGCAGTCATAGCTCTCGGTTTGAATATGACTGATCTGGGGCTCATGGCGGTCACAGCGGGAGCAGTCCTGAAAGAGAATTAAATTTGCTCTTATTATTATATTAACTACATGTTATATATTTGTATAACGCAAATGATTTGTTACTAAGAACGATTGCTTTCGGAACTTAATTTGCTACTTCGAAACACACTTTTTTGAATTCCGATAGGCTGCGTGCCGCCACGTTATCGATACCCGCTGCAGTGCAGCCCAGCGAAGGAGAGCGCACGGCAAGAATTGAAAACAGCTGACAGCAGCAGACTTCCCCCTTTCAACCACTCGGAAATTTAGACGCCATCCAGAAACACAAGCAAATAGAGGCTTTCAGGGGACCAGGAGCTCGGGCACATGGCGAGGCGCACCTGGTGAGATGTACAAATCACTGCTGCACAACGTTTCACTCAAGGCGACATCACGCATAGTCAGACGCAGCGTGAGCAGCCAAGAGAAAGGCGCCAGCGGGAAACGCAAACCAAAAGCGAAGGCGATGGAGGCGAGCTACGATCGGAATAGGCGATGGACGCCAGTGGGGGATCAGGCGGCTGCTGGTCGAAGCACACACAAGTTCAAGGTTGTCTCGTATAACATCCTGGCCCAGGATCTGCTTCTGGAGCACTTTTTCCTGTACGTGGGCATTCCGCAGGAGTTCCTTACCTGGCAACGTCGCCAGCAAAATGTTCTCAGGGAACTGATCAAACTGGATCCGGATATCCTGTGCCTGCAGGAGATGCAGTTCGATCACCTGGCAGTGCTCGTTCAAAGACTGTGTATGGGCAACGGCAAGAAGTTGGCATACGTGTACAAAAAGAAGACCGGCCATCGAACGGACGGATGCGCTATTGTCTATGATTGCTCCAAGTTCGAGTTGCTGGACCACCAAGCCGTGGAGCTGCACGACCAGGCGGTGGCCCTGCTCAATCGCGACAATGTGGCTCTGTTTGCCAGGTTCCGATTCAAGAAGCAGCAGGAGCAGCAGAAGGAGTTCGTGGTGGCCACGACGCACCTGCTGTACAACCCGAAACGGAGCGATGTGCGATGCGCCCAGGTGGGAAGAATTCTGGAGGAGCTGCACTCGTTTTCCACCGACACGCCCATCGTCCTTACTGGTGACTTCAACAGTCTGCCCGACTCCTCGCCCATTAAATTACTCATTGACAAAAATGGGGATGTAGAATCCGAAGCTAGCGCAGAACAACTGCACTTCCAAATCATCGATTCGGGCGAAGGAACTGCCTCTACATACCAGAACGACTGGGTCATCGTGGACTACATCCTGCGCTCGCTAGGAGCGCGGAGCAGGCACAAGCTCTTGCCCCTCAGCGTCTACTCACTGCCCTCGATCAATCGGTGCTTTGCGACGGGACTGATTCCCAACCACCATCTCGGGTCAGACCACTACGCCTTGGGTGCAGTATTCACCGTAGTCTAGTATTTAACCCTTCACCTTGGACTCTTTATCTTAGACTCATCAATAAAGGTATGAAATGAACACGCCCGACAATTATAAAGTAAAGGCTTAAAGGACTCACCTGAAATGTTCTTACCGCCTGCTCATCGCTGGCCTCCAGTTTGGCTCTGATGCTGCTGAGCAGATAGCCCATTTTGGTGATGGTAGCGTCTTGGTCGAGATCCTTGTGATACGAGCGATAAGTGGTGGGTGCTGCTGCTTGAAAGTCTAGCTTGCGGGCTCTACTGGCCCGGGGCAGCTTCTTTGGAGGCGTCGGTGCCTTCACCTTGCGTTCGAAATCGAAATACGCCTGCTCTGTGTCCAGCGGTTGGCGGGTAGATGTGGTCGTGCCCGAGGGCGTGGTCTGCATGGGGGAGTGGTAGCTCCCCGGCGGAGACTGTGAATGCAGGTCCAGCTGCGAAGTAGAGGTCTGTACGCCAATAGTGCACTGCTGGGGAGTGAATCTGTGCTGATCCACCTGCGGGTGCTTCTCCTGATTCGACTTCTTCGGCGAGACGAAGCGCAGGATCTTCTTTTTGGAGTTGTTTAGGAAGTTCTTTGACTTCTTGCCAAGGTTTTTCGGTTTGTTACCCTTCCAAGGAGATAGATTCCGCCACTGCTCGCCCCAGATGAACTTCTGGCTGGCCTGAGCTCCTGCTGTGTTGACTCGACTGGGATACTTGATAGGCGTCTCCTTGTGCACCATATTGGATGCTAGGTTCTCGCAAACACTTCCGTCAACAGTGTCCAAGGAAACTTTTGGCACTACAGGCTGCGGCTGCGCTTTATGCATTTGCCAGCCAATGGCCACTTGCGGCTCCGCCGGCGTCCTAAGCTCGCTGGCAGCCTGGCCCTCGTAGTTGAGCATATCAGTGATCTTGGGTTCTGTCCAGCCCAGAATAACCTCCTTGGTGGGCGCTCCTTTGCGACTGCTCTCCTGCCGAATATTCCGGGCGTAGTTTGAGCCCCGCTTGGACTCCACCACGCGCTCAATGTCACTGAGTGAGGGGCAGGTGGGCAATTGCTTGTGGTTCCTGGGATTCCTGGGCTTCTCTACCTCAGCTAAAGGGAGACGCAAAGCTCGTAAGAACATCGAAAAACCAAGGAACCAATAAATGAAACCGTAAGCCAAATCGTTGGATACAAAACTCTTTATTTGGTATATACATTTGATTTTTGGTAAAATAAATTTAATTTGGTTACGGTTTCATTTTTTGGGGGCTATGCAAATTACTTACCCATGGGAAAGGATCTGCGCTTGTTGTCCTTTTTGCGCGAAGGCTCTAATTTGCTGACAGGCACCTGAACGCCACGCTTGCGCAAGAACTCGTCCAGCACTCGCTCCGCCTCCCGCACCGAGGGATTCGTGGAGGTGAGCGAGGATTGCGATAGCTTCCCATCCAGACTTTGGGAGCTGCGACGCGGTGGCTTTGGAGGCGGCAGCTGGGAGTCCCGAGCCTTGAAACTGACTTGGCCCTGCGACAGGCGCTTCTGCAGCAGCCGCCCACCTGCTCCGGAACTGCGTCGAGAACGGGAGCTCCTGCGACTTGGGGGCTCGGTGGTCAGCCCTTCTTTCTCGTGCTCCTCATCCACAGCGGATTCCTGTTCACTGATGTTGGACAAAACAGGAGCTGAGGGCTTGTAGGCTATGGGCTCGTAGGAAAGCATTTTGGTAGTCTCTCTCGTCGGTTGTGTGCTCCTGTGCCGGCACCTGGAGCCAGAATCTGACAGCTTTTGGCGATTCACGCGCACTTCGGACACCACACAGTTGTCGTGCAGCTCCTGGATGATGTGTATAAGCGGTTCATCCTCGCCGGCCACTGCTCTCAAGCGACTGACAGCGGTTAAAGGAGTTTTCAAGCCGGATTTTATGCTGGCCGGTTCCCTTTGATTAGGTTTCTCCGCCTGCTGCCGCTGGCTGCCCAGATTGTTCTGCTTGACGGGCTGTAAAATGTGAGTTTAGTGTAGGAACAGTAGTGGGCTGGGCTGTGGCTTACCTTGGAGGTCTCGGATCGCCTGCTGCGCCGTGGTAATCGCACGTGTTGGTCACGTGGCGGCGCCGTGGAGCCGCAGTCTCCGCTGTCGCTGGTGAAGCAGTAGCAGAAACCGTTCTGGCAGGGCTTCCCCTTGCGCTCCTGCTCCTTGTTGCAGCGATTCTGGTTGATCAGGTCCGCATCCGTTGTTCTGCGGACTCGTGGAAGCTGTCTGGACATGTTAATGTGGTTATTGTTGGACTCGCAGTCGCGACTTTGGGTGGACACACGGCGAATGCGGCGTGCTCTGAACTCGTCGATGCACTCCTGCAAGCTGAACGACGACGTGGAGCCGGACTCGGCGGAATCCTCCTCCTCCTCTTCCTCCCCCTCTTCTTCGTCAACTAAAACATGTTTGGAGAACTTTGAGCCTACAAAAGTCTGGAGGCCAATAGCTGTTCATTTGCATTCGTGATTAAATAGCGATTTAATGCTTACGGTGGCCATTTTGCAGTCTATGTACTTATGGAGCTGATTAGACCAGCTGCATGTGCTCCACTTTTACACGTTGCACGCTTTCTACTCCGATTCTACTTCGTGTTTTTCCAATCAAATGAAAAGCGACGCCTTCCCTGCATTTTTGTTTTCTCTTTTGTGCCGCTTCTTCTTTATCAACGAAAGAGAGGAGAGAGTGAATAACAGCCCTGTCCTGCGTTAGAGATGGGCACTTGGCTGCGATAATTTGGGCAGCACTAATTCCTCGATGCTTGAAAGCATGCTATTTTGTAGTATTGTTCAAATGCATGTTACTATACATGTAACATTGTAACATATTTAAAATTATGTTATGTGTCATAAAATATCCTTAGCCAATTATGTTCCAGCTCTGTGTTATGGCTATTAAACCCAAAGTTCATAGCCAACTGGTCATCTCTGGTCAGAGAGAGTCAGCTGTTTGCGGCATGCGGTTACGTCGTCTCTGATTACGAAGTATAAAAAATAATTTAAAACTGTTTTGAATTAAAAAGAAATACAGCATGTCGAACAGCCACTTGTTCTTGAAGTCCGGCTTCCCACGCGCACCCCTGCAAAACGGATTGGGACGGTATGTTTGCCAGCTCCAGAGGATCACCCTGAAGTTCTGCAAGAATAATGGATCCAGCAGAGGCATGCGGTAAGCACAATAACTTTAATGCAAATATTTAAATATATTTATCGCACGACACATTTAAAAGCGACTTCATTGAGAACCACTTGCTGGACTTCGCCAAAGAGAATCCTGGGATTGTGGTCTATGTGAAGCCCAGGCGCCACCGCACGCCAGTTTTGGTGGCGGAGTATTGTACGTATACATCAAGATGGTGTAAAGATGGTCCTGAAAACCGAGTATACAAAAAATATGTTATGGTGTTATAGTGAACGGCGAGCGCGAGTGGATGAGCTGCAGGAACAGCACCCAAGAGGAGATCTCCAAGTGGATTGACCTGCTGAAGACCCAAAACGGCAGCTCCAGCTCTCTGCGCCTCCGGAAAATGTGGCACACGGAAGTGCCCTCCATCCAAGGCCCGTGGACGCCATTCCTGCTGCGTTCGCCGGAGGCCCAAGGCCAGGCTTATCCCAGTGCTGAGGCGTCCAAGCCGCTGGAGACGCCTCAAACTGCCACAGAGAAGCTCATCGAGTTGTTCCGGCAGCAGAAACTCGAAGCTGGCGAGGAAGCACACGACGTGCTGAACAAGAAGCGCGCTGAGTAATAGGAATATAGGACTTTTTGGTAATTGTTGCTTTTATTTTTATAGTCAACATAGTTTTCTTGGTAAACAAATAAATATTTAAAATCTAAACCACTAAACTTGTGCTTCCATCGCTGGAATATCGAACCAAAAGTCATAGAAAAGTGCAAATAACTTATTGTCCCCTTAGCATTGATGTCTGCCAGTTGGTTTCGATATGTTTCGGGTACTTGGATCATTGAATATCATTGTGGGAGTATCATAAATAAGGCTTAGGTTACTGACCCCTTGGAGGCTTGGAATACGAAACGGAATGGAAATACACATAGGTGTGCAGAACGGGGAATAAACAGGTTCTGGTGACGACTTAGCATAACCAACTTAGCATCGACTAACGACTGCAGGTGCGATGGGTGATTAAGTACGAAAAGGTCCGACTAAGACGGTTATATAGTTACTTCCGGGTGCACCCAGCGAGTTTAGGAGTATCAAAAAGTAAACCACGAATAATTCATTGCTTATGTGCTGAAGTATTCCCCATTTAACACTTAGACTTATACATATAGTTACTTTCACACATACGATCAACGACTTACACACCGATAAAAGCATTTTGCTCGAGTTTACAATTTCCGATTAGTGAATTCCTTTGGCGAAATGCATTTGGTTCTTCCTAATTATTACTATATAGACCTTGAGTACACAAATGTTAACGTTGTCATCAAAATAATCAATACGGACGTCTTTACACTTTTGATATTGTTGTCAATGGTATATCACTAGTTAAACTAACTAAACTCTTCCTTAAACACATGTCTTTTTCCTTTCTTTCCCAGGCATCTATCAAATCTATCCCTAGATTTTGTATTTTGGTGGTGGTGGTGGTGTTGGTGGGTGAGCTTTAAGCAAGCGTTTTCCATTCGCAACTAGCTACTAGCTGCTTTTTGGTTTCGATAGATAGCCTTTCGTTCATAGCACGCAACTACAGCACACAGCTCAGCTCGCTTGGCGGATCTCCTCAGATGTCTCCCGTTTCCATGGCGGCATTTATGTCCGCCACGATCTTTCCCATCACCTCGCGGTAGGGGGAGTCCGGTCGGAAGGCCGTCTCCAGCAGCGCCTCCTCGCCAAAGAAATCGAACACCTCGTCGATGCGGCCCAGCGACTTCTCTGTGAGATGCGGCTGCACAATCGACTTCAGCGCCACTTGCGATTCGGCTATTGACTTTTGCAGGTAGGGCAGGTCGAACGTGAAGTCCACTTCGTAGAATGATATGATGGACAGCTGGGTGTTCTGCGAGAGAAGAACGTCGGGTTAATGTTTATTTAGTCACCAAAACAACGATGGTGTTGTTGCAGTCATGGAATGGTAGTCAAGATTCACCTGAAACTTTCTCTTGAAGAGCTCGGCCTTCTGCAGCTCCTCATCGCTGAACTGATTGTTCCGGTGGAGCACACCGATTTTGATCACGATCTTGATGATGTTCTTGATCAGCTTCTCCGCCTTGGCCTTGTTCCCGGTGTGCATCTTGCAGAGCCTGTAGAGGTTGTCCAGCAGCGACGCCGTCGTGCCGTCGATGAAGGTCTTGGCGATGTTTTTGGTGGCCATGCGTGAGAGGATCTTCTTCTGCGCCCGCAGCCCGATATCTTGCGACTTGAAGACATTGTCCGCCATGACTAAAGCGGAAGGGAGGAGTGGAATTCATATATAGACATTATTATCGCTGCATATTCATTGACGAAAGCATTGTGGCAAGTAATCCGAGCAATGCGAGCAGCTTGAGCCCACCAAACAAAACGGAGAAACAACTCCGCCACCGAGGAAAACTTAAAACGAGTGGTGGCAACTGAAAAGCAAATCAGCTCCGCACTTCTCCGCGGTTTACCTTCCAAGTTCCAGTAGTCGACGCTCCACAGAAGCAGACATTGTCGAAGCCCGGCCACCGACATCGTGGCTATATATCACACATATATTGCACCGATTCCAGTTGCAAGCATTGATAAGGAATTACAGACAGAGATATTAAAACATGAATGATTGGGCGATGTATGTACACCACCCCGTATCTCTAGATAAAGGGAACCTGGTTCTTTCTTCGCAGTGTTTCTGTGTTTTTGTGTTTCTTTGTGCTGTAGTTGAAGTGGGCAATAAAACAGTCTCTGTGGCCTACCTTTACCTACCATGAGTCATTTAAAAGTGCAATTACTATAGCGCAATTACTATAGCTTTAGTGCTTGGAACTGAAACATTGGGGAAGAGTGCATTGATCGGTTCTGTAGGACTTAAATGTGTTTAAGCCAATGAATGGCAATGTTAACGTTCTTAAGTTGAGAACAAAACACAACGATTAATGTGCATAACTTTGTCGTCACCCCTCGTTCGTCACAAGCTGTGAACAAACAAAACAGGAATCTAACGATAATGAGACATTCTGGGGAATTCGAACTGGGTTATCATAAGGCGTAGTTATGAACACAGCATACTACTTGCTAATCCACGCATAGATATAGGAATGCTGCCGTATTAATAATGGATGACCAACTGCGCCTCACTGGCCGTATTTATGAGGTTGTTCTAACGGCGTGGCGTACGTGCTGGAGCCGAAAATGGAAATGCGGCAGCTTTTCCAACTGTCCAAATAAGGAGTATAGAGCAGGGCTAGGCGAGCCAAGGCGCGCTGGGGGGAATCCCCTGGCGGGTCAGCAGAGTTCAAACTTTCGGATACACATGGGCACTAACTAGAAGTGTTATCCACCCAAGCCGTGACTGAACTTAATCTACAGCACGGTATGCCTGGCTGCTAATTTAACTAAGTGGATTCCAGTTCCAGTTAGATAGCGTCTGGCACATCGCCGTGTCAGGACACGGACTGCTCCAAATGGTTAAGGTCACGCGAAGTGCAATAAAAGAAGGCCTATCCCTTTGAAAAAAGGGGGTGTGGGTCCTCCAAGGACGCCAGTGGAGGGCGGAAGTGCGCTACAGTCGAAACCACTGGGCACTTGAGTTCGTTGGGCCATTGGGGCTATGAAGTGGGCCATGGTTCTCCTGGCTTTCCTGCATTTGCGTGTTCCGTTTGCCCAGCAGGTGGGTTTCTTTGCCTTCTGGGTGTTATTGATTGCAACAGGCATGTGTATAGTGCCCCCTCCCCTCGCCTTCCCCCAGGAAACCAGAATAGAAATCCAATTTGGCGCTCACCTGTGTTTTTGTTGCTGCAGTCCTTGAATCGAATCCTTGAGTCCTTGCTTCGTTTCTGAGTATGTGTGTGGGGATGTGGGTGTGCTTGATGATGACCAGTAGTTCGGAATCCAAGTGCTAGCGAAAGCAACTGAAAGGGGATGACTGCATTTAAGCCCGCGAACTGCGTACGATTTGCAGCTAAATTTATGCGCAACTTCGATGAAACATAAAACAACTCGGCGAACAGCAACAAAAACAAAATATCAGCTTGTGAGACCAGCTGCTGTTAGCAGCCAAATGGTATAAGTATAAGAGAACAAATACTCTTGTCTCGGTTAGTATTAGTTTATTATTTGGCGGTTGTCCAGTCTTTCGCAACAGAATGCTTGTTCCTCCTATCTGAGCACGGTCACACTGCACAAGAGTCCAGCTGCGTCGTTGAAAAATATTTTCGATGCATCGAAGGTTGTTTTATTTCAAAGGAATTAGCAGGAAATAAAGTGGAAAGCGCAGATTTCGAGCAGCAGTCGCCCAGAGGATTGCACGATGAACATTTACAACAAGTTGCGAGCCAGGGAGCACGGCTACGGTGAGTTTTTCGCTTGGCGGGAGAATCTCGCTTTTGGCGCTCGAATTTCCTGCGGTGAATGGTGTTGATTTTGAAAAGGGTTTAACGGGCTAAAAGGGTTTTCCTGGCCATATGGGTTTTCCTGTTCGTCCTGCATTGCCACCTAACCACGGAGGATTGCTTAAGGGGTGAAGAAACCCAAGCAGTTGCTGCATTGGAAACTGCTGATCTTGCAAAAGTTCCGTGGAAAACAAAGCCACGGCACTATTTTCACGGTTTCTCCTCTGGTTTTTCGTTTTTAGGCAATGAGAGGACTTACGATTTCGCGCTGCGTCGACTTTCTGTGGCCAAGGAGGACAGCTGGCGGGGCATCGCGCCGGCCAACTACTGTCCAGACTTCAATCCGGAACCGCCGATCTTCTCCGCCAAGTTCGCCAACTGCGATGGCTACCGACACATCCTGGCGATCGCCAACGAGGACGGCAAGATCACGTTGCAGGACACCACCCAGCGGAACCACCAGCCGGAGGAGCAGTCCCTGGTGGGTCCCCAGTGCCACTACAACGCCGTTTTCGATCTGGAATGGGCCCCCGGCCAAATGCGCTTCGTGTCCGCTTCGGGCGATCACACTGCCAGGCTGTGGGAGGTGGCGGGCTCTGGCATCCGCGGCTTGAACTCCTATGTGGGCCACACAAGGTCCGTTAAGTCGGCGGCCTTCAAGCGCACCGATCCCGCTGTCTTCGCGACCGGCGGTCGTGATGGCGCCATCCTCATCTGGGACATCAGGGCCAATCTCAATATGGACCTCACCTCACGCGTGGACAACTGCATCTACAGCGGGCACACGGGCGGACCGGGCACTCCAGTTTCGCAGCGAAAGCAGCGCACACGCACTCCTAAGATGGCCGGAGGAACCACCTCGAGCAGCATCACCGGCTTGGCCTTTCAGGACAACGATACCTTAATCTCATGTGGTGCCGGTGATGGAGTCATCAAGGTGTGGGACCTGCGGCGCAACTACACAGCCTACAAAAAGGAGCCACTGCCCAGGCACAAGCTGCCATATGCGGGCCATTCCACCTTCCGGGGATTCACCAATCTCATTGTGGATGCGTCGGGCACGAGGCTGTATGCCAACTGCATGGACAACACCATCTATTGCTATAATCTGGCCTCCTACTCTCCCCGCCCCCTGGCCTGCTACAAGGGACTCCTTAACTCCACGTTCTACATCAAATCCTGCCTCAGCCCGGACGGAAAGTATCTGCTGAGCGGAAGCAGCGACGAGCGGGCTTACATCTGGAACCTGGACCATGCCGAGGAGCCACTCGTCGCACTGGCCGGACACACGGTGGAGGTGACCTGCGTGGCCTGGGGCTCCAGCCACGATTGCCCCATTGTCACGTGCAGCGATGATGCGCGTCACAAGATCTGGCGTATCGGACCCGACCTGGATGGCCTCAGCGAGGCGGAGCGGACTGAAAAGTACCGAGGAACTGCCTCCTACGTCAGGGAATTCGGCAAGAAGGCGTTTGGTCCGTCTGGTGGAAATCACAAGTACAACCTTCGAGATCTGGAGTCCACACCACGATCTCTCAAGCGCCTTATGGATCAGAATGAGCGGACACCAGGCTCCGTGGAAAAGACGACGACCAAACGTTCGTTCCTGGAAATGCTGGGCGTAGCTAATCCGGAGACGGAAGCCACCGAGCAGCCCCAGAAGCGAGCTAAGCCACTCGAGTCACGTGGAAGGCGGCTTTTTGGACCACCTAGCCAGGAAACTGCTTGCAGGCATATACAACTGCAACCCATAAACGAAGAAGATGCCTCCCCGAGCAAAAGGCAAAAGGAGAACTCTGCTGCGGAAGATGTCTCGCCACTGCACAAGCTTCTCAGCACACCAAGTCATTCCCCCTTAAGTGAGAATGTGAACCATATGTACACCTCCCCGCCAACCACTTCAGCGGCAGCAGCGGCGATGGCTGCCGAGGCGGTCAATCCGCCACCGATCTCCGCTGCAATCTACTCGCCCACTTCCAACCTGCCCAACTACGTGCTGGATGGCGAGGCACCCCATCTGGGCATCATGTCGCCCAAGCGGAAGGCGAAGGAGAAGGTGGACTGGCTGACGAATATCCGGAAACAGAAGCTGATGAGTGGCAGGGCCCATGTGACGCTCAGCGACAAGATCAGCGAGGAGCAGCAGGCCGATGTACTGGCATCCCCTCGCCTTCAGAGCCTGCGGCAATCCGAGTGCAGTCCCAGGATAAATGCCACGCCCCGCAGACGCATCTCCCACACGGACGGAGGTGGTGGTACGCCAGCTGGCAGCTCCTCCCATTCCCAAGTCCAGCCAAAAACCCCCACTTCCAGTAGGCGCAACAGTGAGACGACGCTCCTGCGATTCTTCAGCATTCAGCGGAGTAGCAGTGTGCCGGCGGAGGAAGCAACGACAACAACAGCGGCTCCTTCCTCTCCCAATCCCCCGGCAGTGGCTGCGCCCGCAGCCACGCCCCTCAGCATGCGTACGCCCACCACGGTGGTGGGCAGCGATTGACGCGGCGCCTCGAGCCGCAGCACCATTATTGCACTTGTAGTTTTAAGCGGACATTGTTTAAGTTATTTTATGTAGATAGTAGGTTGCATCTATCGCGGGGCGAGTTGGTAACCAACTCCCCGCCGTCTGTACAGAGCCGATACGAAAGACTAACGTACCCAAATAAAAGTAACTCAATTTTAAATTACCCATCATTATTGCAGATTCCCTCGCAACGCCCTAAACCGATCTTGCACTATTAGAGAGCTACAACTAATTTAATGTACTTTTAATCATTTTTTTGGCATAATCAGAACGGTTTAAGTGGCACTCATGGCTAGGAAGATCAGCCTTCTACTGGAGCTTTTTCTGCTGATCCTGCTGCTCTTTCTTGGCCGCCTTATTAATCCGCATGGTCTGCACAAGCTGCTTGGCCACACCGGCCAGCAGTACGACGTGGGTGAGGTGCAGGGCAGCGCTGGAGAAGTTCGTACTGGGATAGGTGTTCCAGCAGTACTCAATGAGTCCGAGGATTAGGCATCGCACACCCAAGGAGTACGGCGTGGACCAGGCCAAATAGGGCAGCGAGTGGAAGTACCAGACGTAGAATTGGTAGTGCAAGGATCGGGAGCAGGCCACGCCCACCAGGTTGCACAGGAAGAACGGCAGGAGGGCCAGCTGAGTGCAGCGGTCGAAGTGGATTCCATAGCGCTCCGGTTCCGACTGGGCGGGAGCTGCCGCTGCCGCTGCCTTGCCTCCGGACGCCTTCTGCAGGCTCTTCTCGAAGGACTTCAGGAAGGACTGCTGCTCGGGTGTAAACTTGTTCTGGTCCTTGTCCTTTTCCACCTTCTTGGGCTTTTTCTGGGCCTTCAGCTCAAGGTTCTGCTGGGCTATTTGTGGCTGTAGCTGATCCTCAATGCGGCGCAGGCGCACGTAGCTCTGGAAGAAGGTCCAGGTGGGCTTGGCGAAGGCCAGCAGGAGCAGCAGATGTAGGCCCAACAGTGAGACGTGGAAGGATCGGTTCTCGAAAAGATCTCTGCTCAAAAAGCGATAGTTGACCGTCCACTTGTGCTCGAAGATGCGTCCCAAATCAAAGCTACCCCGCAGATACTCCACAGGATAGGTGAGCAGGAATGGAGCGCCGAGCAGCAGTTGTATCACTCCGCAGACGGCCAACTGCAGGATCGTCCGCATTAGTCCCAGATTGGCCAAGTAGAACAGTAGGAGGGCAGGAGCAAACAGCAGGATGTTCATCTTAACGCCCACCGCCAAGCTGAAGAAGGTGCTTCCGAGGCTCCATCTTCTGTCCAGGAAGAGATTGAGGGCGGCGTAGAGGAGCAGCACCGCCACCGGATCGTTGAAGAGGCGCAGCACGTATATCGAGTGGATCCGGTACGATGTGAAGGCACTGAGCACCAGCACATAGGGCGGCACCTTCCTGCTCTTCGCGTACAATCTCAGCACCAGGGCCAGCTGGAGCAGGTAGATCCCGGCGAAGATGTACTGCGCCAGGCGCACGTTCGTGCCGTGGGACGTCACGTAGTAGAGGGCCGAGTAGATGTACACGAAGGCAGCGGGATACACAAGAGGTCCTGTGTCGCCTATAAAATGGGAAGACGAAGGATTTGAATTCATTAATAAAAATTAGATTATTATTTGAAATCACTCATTTCATATATTAAGCAGACATTCTCGCCAATTTGGGCAAGGAAAAAGTAACTTATTCCTTGAGTAACATTTACTATTTATATACATATATATATTTTACCGGGAATAATAGTTAAATAATTTAACTACTAGTTTTTTTAACTTTAACGGTATACAACGGTATTTATACATATTTGCCCTCGTGCCGGTTGGTATTTTTCCTCGCCACCAATGCGGCCACACTGAGAAGGTGCGAGCGAGAGAGCGACATTCGTAGGGCAGCATGGATGTTACGGCATGTTGTTGAAAAGCTGAAAAACTGATACTTTTATGGAAAAATGATGATTTCGTGTAAAAAATTATTCGTGTTCCGGCAGCTGCCAGCGGTGCGCCGTTGCCTGGCGACAGCCGCGTGCTCCACGCCCAGTGCCACCTCCTACCGAATCCTCTCCAGCGCTTGGAGCGGAAGTACCCGGGCAGACGCAGCTCAAGTGCGCCGCCTGCACACCACGCGCCACCTCCTGGCCAAGGACTACTACACAACGCTGGGCGTTGCCAAGAATGCCAACGGCAAGGACATCAAGAAGGCCTACTACCAGCTGGCCAAGAAGTACCATCCGGACACGAACAAGGAGGATCCGGATGCGGGCCGCAAGTTCCAGGAGGTCTCCGAGGCCTACGAAGTGCTCAGCGACGAGCAAAAGCGCCGTGAGTACGACACCTATGGCCAAACGGCGGAGAACATGGGTCGCCAGGGTGGCGGATTCCCCGGCGGAGGAGCCGGTGGCTTTGGCCCCGAGGGTTTCTCGCAGAGCTGGCAGTTCCGCTCGAGCATCGACCCCGAGGAGCTCTTCCGCAAGATCTTCGGCGAGGGCAACTTCCGAACGAACTCGTTTGACGACTTCGCCGATTCCAAGTTCGGTTTCGGTCAGGCCCAAGAGATGGTCATGGACCTGACCTTTGCGCAGGCGGCGCGCGGCGTCAACAAAGATGTCAACGTCAACGTGGTGGACCAGTGCCCCAAGTGCGCCGGCTCCAAGTGCGAGCCGGGCACCAAACCGGGGCGCTGCCAGTACTGCAACGGCACCGGTTTCGAAACGGTGTCCACCGGACCCTTTGTGATGCGCTCCACCTGCCGCTACTGCCAGGGCACGCGGCAGCACATCAAGTATCCGTGCAGCGAGTGCGAGGGCAAGGGCCGTACGGTCCAGCGCCGCAAGGTCACCGTTCCGGTGCCGGCCGGCATCGAGAACGGACAAACGGTGCGCATGCAGGTGGGCAGCAAGGAGCTGTTCGTCACATTCCGCGTGGAGCGGAGCGACTACTTCCGCCGCGAGGGCGCCGATGTGCACACGGACGCGGCCATATCCCTGGCCCAGGCGGTGCTGGGCGGCACTGTGCGCGTGCAGGGCGTCTACGAGGATCAGTGGATCAACGTGGAGCCGGGCACCTCGTCGCACCACAAGATTATGCTGCGCGGAAAGGGACTCAAGCGCGTGAATGCTCACGGACACGGAGACCATTACGTGCACGTGAAGATCACGGTGCCATCCGGAAAGAAGCTGGACAAGAAGCGCCTTGCTCTAATCGAGGCGTACGCCGAGCTGGAGGAGGACACCCCTGGCCAGATCCACGGAATCGCGAATCGCAGAGACGGCAGTAAGAAAGCAACGTAAATAATCTCCCGATCTACCAATGCAATCTCTAAATGTACCTTGGAGTTTGAATTCGTAGCTGAAATATACGTGCGTTTTATGTGCGAGCTATGTTAAATGACGCCGTCTTTCTCTCTGCCCCCATCTTCCGTTGCAGCGCAGGAGCGAGTGAGGAGCCAGGAGCAGGAGCAGCTGCTGGAGCCAGTGCAGCAGCAGCGGGACCAGGATCCTCCAAGCCAGGACAAGGAGCAGCTGAACACGAAGGCAAAGACCAGCGGACGGACGAAGAGGAAAGAAAAAAAGCGAAAGAAGGCGGCGGATCTGGATCCCGACAAGGCGACGGCGACGGCGGAGGCTTCATAAGCAAGATCAAGTCCATGTTCAACTGACAGGCGTTGGCAACCCGATGGCCGATTCTGTTTTCTAGTGTCTAAGTTATCGCACGTTATTGTTGCTAATCTAAGTTCGGGCGGGAACCGCAGAAGTGTATTCCAAATACGAGTCGGTTCGAGATGAATAAACCAAATTGACCGTCAATCGGGCCGGGCAAGCTCTGTGTTTGTGCGAGGCTAGTTTCACCTGTACTAATCCAACGCGGCTCTGACTTTCAGTCCTTCAGATTGCCTCGAGCATACATTGTTCTCTAGAGATTGTAAATACCATAGCTAAACAGCTTCTTAATATTTCAACAATGAGTATTTCAAAACATATTTTAAATTACTCGCATTTTTGAAACTACTTAAAGGAAACAATCGAAATGTCTATTTTATAAGAACGAACCATCTTGAAGGGGAAAACTGTTCTCTAACTAGAAAAGAGGATGCACTAATAGCTAGTTAAGATCAGGTTATCCTCAGTAAATACACTCATATGTTGACTAATTTCCCTGCTTGACTTAAATAGCAATGGCCACAGCACGCTTTGCCCATGAAGCACACGACAACAGGTGCACGAGGAGACATCCGGCTGCGGAATGGGGTCACTTGTGGCCAAAAATAAACCAGGAGCGGCGCAGAAACTCACCGCGCAGCAGACTGTAGTTGGTGGTACCATTCAAGAAGCCCTCGCACTCCTGCATGTAGGCGACCCAGTCGATCTCCGTGTAGGGCACCCGCTGGATGACCACCACGTTGATGACCAGCTCCGCCAGGAGCACGAAGAGGCCAACTATGGGCAGAGCGGCCGGCTCCAGCAGCAGGTACTTGAAGAAGCGCACGTTGAGGTACTTGTCCAGGATGGAGTCCACCAGGGTGGCCGACTTCTTGCGCCGCACCGCCGGACGGTGGCTGGCGGCCTTTGGCGGGGCCATTTCTGTGATAACCGGCGAAAATGAATTAAAATTCAACTTGAACCGAAAAACAACCAGGGCGGCACTATCAAAATCAGCTGTTGCGCCTCCCACCGATAGCGGTGCAACTGGTTTTTGCATGCTATCGATATTTTTGCAATTTGAATTTGTAGTACTAAAAGCGGGCACGCGTGGCGCCACCGTTTCCGGTTGTTGCTTGATTTTCGAAAAAATTTAATTTAATTTTAACGAGGACAAAAAACGCTGCAAAATATATTAATATATTTGTTTTGCTATCCAAAATTAATTGTTGTGGCCAAAACAGTGCAAAATCAGGAATAGAACCCACACCAAATATTCGAGTTTTCCTAAGGGGTTTACCTTCATAACTTTGCCAAAAAGAGTCGTACATCGAAAATTTTTACTGTTTTGGACTGCTAATGTTTCAAACTAACTATCCCTATCACAGCTCCGGCGATTTTGCAAAATATATTTTTGGCCAATTTTTTCATTTTTTGTAAGGGGTTACATTATAAAAACTTGCGAAAAATCGACAAAAATTAAAAAGTTCAAATTTGAATGCCAATCGATTAGGAATGTAAAAACGAGTTCAACGAGGTATGACACTCAAGATTTGAGCCATAAAATCGATGGTTTTGGCCAAAATACGTATTTTTTGTCGGAAAATCAGAGGCTCACCTTCATAACTTGGCCAAAAAGGGTCGCAAATCTAAATAATTGACTGTCGGGCATCGGGCATTTATGTAAGGTATATAAATAGAAAATAAAAAGGGTATGCGGAGTTTTCCTTGCAGGCAAAGTGATTACGGGAATAGCAAGCAGTAGGACAATTGCATTTCAGTATTTACAATTTGAATAGCAACATATCCTAGCTTGATGGATGTTGTAAGGCCTGCGGGTGGATTAAACCATAACATACATGTAGTAATTAGCAGAATTCCTACACGGCGAACGATTCTATGTGGTCAAAATGGGAGGGCCGGGTCGGAGGCACCGGAACTGCGGGTGGGAATACGCAACAGGTACAAAACCAATCAGCTCATGGCCAATTTGCTGGGCAGATTAACGTCCATCGCTGGCGTTATCCCAATAGCAAATAGTCGGTGGTGGTCCGCCTGGTTGTGGGCGGCTTGGGGTGGCTTTTCAGGTGACTCTGGCGGTTTAACGCATCGCTGAGATGTATTTGCTAAGGGCAAACGGGGTAGCAAAAGCCGGGCGAAGGGGTGACGGGTGTGCTCATGCAAACGCAGCTCGTTTATCGGGTTACAACTGGCATGGCACCCATGCCGCAACCACATTTAACCCACCATCGAGCCCACATCCTTTTCAGGACTCAGAACTCGGGAATGACCCGTACCCAGAACCAGCAGGCAATTAAATGTGAACCTACGGATGCGACTGGTGCCCGATTTTCCGGCGCTACCTCGCTCTTGTCAGTTTTTTCCGCTATTCGTGATTCATTTATTGTGTCCACTGCAGCGTGTTTGCTCAAAAAAAGGAAACACGAAATAGTTGGCCCTGTTGTCGCTTTTCCCGACATTTATCTGTCCTGTCATCCAGCTGAAACACTGATATGCCACCAATTATCCAAAAAGGGGAAAACTGGAGTGAAAAAAGGTGCACGGCGATTTACAGGAATTTAGCCGGAGGATTTGTGCGAACTGGAATTCAATAAACCATTTTCTGAAAAAATCTGTTTAAAAACATTTTTGTTACAGATGAGTTGAGTTTTACTGTGAAATTTCTCTGTATTCGTATAATCCTTTGTTTCCCCTTTTTTTAAGGAAAATGTTGAAGTGTGTCCCTTAATAGCTGAACTTTTATGTATGTCAGCATTAATAAAGCTTATATGCATGAATAATTCACAAAAAAATGCTCGAAAGAGCTATTGAAATAATTTAAAATTAAATATTAAAAAATGACTTGCGGAGAATGCGTACTCTTCTGAAGGCAAACAAGTCTACAAGTGATAGTCGCGCGTAATGTGGCAAGTCATGCATTTTCGCTAATTCAAGTGATCTCTGCCTTTTCTTGGGCGCGTACCAAAATAAGTGTGAGCATATGTCTTTCATGTTTGTCGCCCCATCTTTGTGGGTCAATCGCGTCCCAAGTTGGCTATCGCCGCATGAACTACGAGTATAGAACTAAATCGGTCACTCCTTATCGGTCGCGTCGCCCCAGTCGACAGATGTGCGAGTATGTGTGCAGTGCATATCCGTGAGTATAGACAAATATACGTACAGCCTCTGTGGACTTCAGCTATGTTGTGTGTGAGTGAGACAATTGTTTATTAATCAATAATAACAATAATCCACGGCACGCACACCGACACAACGTGTGTATTTCGTTATCGGTGCTGTTATCATTATCAGCCCGCTGCTGCTGTGGCTCCCATTGCCGATAAGCGATTCCCCCACTTCGCCGCTGTAATGCAAATCAACAGCATTCGGCCTATGATAGTGGCGAGCAGTACTTTGCACTCAAGCGCTTATTAATTTCACTTCCCAGCGTATTCATTGCCTGTGCATTTTATTGTCTCACGATCTGGCTATAAAATGAAAATGGGGACGGGCACTTAATTCCGTATGATACTCGCACTTTGGGCGGAAGAAAGGAAGGCGGGGCAGTTCGAAAACTCTCCAGCCGGAAAAAGTCTCTGTGGAGTAAACAAGCAAGTTCCGTGGCTCTGCGAAGTCTTCCTGCCGAGCTTCAGATACAGTGGAAGTTCTATTGAATAAAATTTAAATTTCTCTGTAAATAAAATTGTAAGTGCCATATGCCATATTTGCTTGAAAAGCATGCTTGTTGCATACTTTTGGAAATCGTGCTAAAGGCAATCACTTTAGTGTTTTTACGTTCCATTTGGACTTGGAAAGTGTATCTTTTAGTGTCATTTTGAGTTTTTGTTGAAGAGCAGTTCCCCTATTTGCACAGCCTTAAATTCTGTAAAAAAGCATGCTTCTGAAGCACACTTTTGCACACCTTGTTGGAGGCTTTCGAACATTTTCGGCTCGTAAACCAGTGAGCTTTAATCCCATTTGAGTTCGAAAACTATGGCCTTTAGTGCTGATTAATATGGACAGAGATATTGGATCACGACACAGAGTGCTGCCTGTGGACTCTTTGCTCTTGCTTTTGCTTTGAGCTTTGAACGCCCGCAAAAGCTGACTATTTTGTTGGGCCCCAGCATGGGGATGGGTACGGGGAAAGGGGCGTGGCGAAGGGTTAGGGGGTATGGGCGAGATAGGAGGGCTAGCGACTTAAAAGTGTTGATAACCGTACACATTTGCATCCACAAACACTACGTCGCACACAAGCACACCCTGCTTTCTAGGGCTCTGCTGTTTAAGTTAAATCATTTGGAGCTGTTGTCGTTGTTGTCGCTGCGTTGTTATTGTTGTTGTTGTTGCTCCTCACATATGTTGAACTAAAAAGAATTGGAGGAGCAGAGACGCAGGGCGAAGAAAAGAGCTGTACATTGGTACGGGGCATATTGGATTATTCGGATGCCCTACCATGCGAAACCTACTAAAGAGTACTATTAAGCTTAAATAAGAATGTGGAAGGCTTGGAAGGCCTTCAGATACTTTTCAAACTCCTCAAGTTTGGGCAAAAGGAACTGTTGAAGTTGCTTAGATTTAAAGCGCACGAAAAAAATATATTTTTAAACTGTTTCCAAATGATATTCATTTAAGAGTGATCCTTTTCTTGTCCGAAGAACTATAAAATGCAACGTTTCGATTCTGAAAGTCTGCAGATCTTATTTGTGTAGCGCATTTGGCGTGCAGCTTAACTCCTACCCTTGACAACGACAACAAAGTAGGTGCAACAAAGAGCCATAGCGACCGTCTCTCATGCGCCTACCCCCCGGCCCCCGCCCCCACTAGCCGACTGCTTCTACCTCTGCCTGTTGCTGCCTTGCCTGCTGTCTCTGTCCCACACGCCTGCTCTCCCGCTCGCCTCGCTCTCGTTCGGCTCGTCGCTCGTAATAAGCTTACACAGAAAACAATTATTTCGGATCCCAATACAATAAGAATTATGATTAGATTCCTCTTATGCTACAAAAAAGAAACGAATATGTTATACCTACCATAGCAGTCTTTCTCGGTCGCATTGAATGTTATTGATTTGACTGCCCGACTTTTCGCGCAGTGCAACATGCGCTCTTCGGCTCTCCGCCGCCGTCAGCTGTTGTTGTTGCACTGGGGCTGTGGGGCTGCGATACCAGCTGTATGCTGTGCTGACTCGTCGTCGGCGGCTTTCGGCTGTTCGTTTCGTTTCATTTCGTTTCGCCTCGCCTCGATTCGAGTTGCTTCAGTTGAAGTTTGTCGCTGGTCGCGTTCAGTTGTCCGTCCGGCAAGAAGGCGGAAGACCGGGAAATACAGACGCGATACAAACGAGCGATATCTGCTCCCCTCCTGCTCCCACTCGCACTCGCACTCGCAGCGCAAGATCGCGGGAAATCAGGAAGCGCCGAAAACTCGGATAACCGTTTTTATTTTTATTCTCCCCCTTGGTTCGTTCTGTTACTGCTGTTACTGCTGTTACTTCTGGTAATTTCCATTTCCATCGGATACGCGCTCAAACGGCCACTGCAGGCGGCGAGAAATAAGAAATGTAGATAGCGCCAAAAAAAAAAAAAAATAAGGAAAAAAAAACATAAAAAGAGGGAGAAATAAAGGCCGAGAAAAAGCGAAAATCATTGTTATTGCATGGAAAATTACTACAGAAATCTCCTGCATAGCGGAGCCAAATGGGCATGGCACTAAACCAAATCAAACCCAAAACTGAGACAACAACAAGCCAGCGGAGCATAAATTAGATTGGCCTTATAGTCGAATGACGACGAACTCGAGCCGCGTAAACAAATTAAGCGATGCTGACCGCCGTTGTTGCTCAAATTTAAATATAAACTATTATTGTTATCTGTGCGCTTGTCGTTGTCTATTTTCGCGCCAAATGCAATCGGTTTTTCGTTTTTTGGGGGGGGCTTGCGGCTCGGGCATTACATAATTAACGAGCGCGTAAATCAACAAACACGTACTGGCCAAGAACCATAAATTATACATGAAAACGGGCGAAAATCGCGTACCCATGTCGCTTA